AAGTTGGGAATACCGGTGGACTGCGATAAGTGATAGGCCTCAATTCTGCACAACTGTTGAAAGGCTACATGTCGGTATTGAACCCAACCACTCGTCTACTAACCTGGATAGAATGACCAGGATGATCGGTCCAAACAGGTTCATCGTTTCTCAGAACTCAACAATATTTCAAACCCTTGAAACTTATAAAAAAAACTGTTTTCATAGTCATTTTTTCCAGTATAGTAAGCTGAACCACTGCCCGGTGATAGGATAGGTGATTGTGCCATAATGGATCTGTCTTCGCTTGGATTTAATGGTTCCAAGTAACAATCGGCTTGATTGTACTTAAAATTGTGGCATTATTGAATAATAGGGGGTGATGAAAACGAGACCGTTTCTGTTCATCCTGATCTGCCAATTTGCCGAATAATGGAGAGAACTGCTTATAGGAAAAACAAGATGCAAATAGTATACAAATTGTGACCGAACAACGCCTATATTTCTACCTATTACAAACTACTCCACGCCAATAACCTTAAAAACAAAACTCGTATTCTAAAAAAATTGATTTCTACAACAGTTTTCCGTTTTATTTCAACAAATTTGGCGGAAAGATAGAAGTTGGGGGGAAACTTTGAGAAGTTCAAACTCCTGACACTTGCGAAGTTTCAACTTACGATTTCCGTGCTTGCTGCTGTGTAAATAAAGTCCTCAAGATTAAAGAAAGTAACTAAGTTCAGTTATCGGTTTAAACAACTGATTACAACTATTCTAAGATATAACTATTATTATTATTATTATTATTATTCTTTCCGGTTATACAATTGTTTATTAAAGTAAACTAATTTTCTCGTTTTAAGTACATATTTGATTATATATTGGTCAAACGAAAAGAGGAAATAACATCAGAATGCTTATAAAAACCACCAAATATTGGGAAATACAAGGTAGTATTATTTGTTTTCTTGGGATCTCACGACAATAAAGTAATAAAAGGGAGTGTATAACTGTCTGGACGTTCAGAAAATATATACTACAGATGTATACTACAATAAATAAAAAAAAGACTAATTTTTACCGTGTACCGTATAATTTAAATTCATTATTTAACCTTTTTATGGTATAAATTTTAGTTTATTTGTTGTTGATCCTTTGTAATTATTTTCTCTTTTCTCTGAGGGAAGAGTGGTAAAGTGTGTAAGCTAAGATTGAAAAAACTATCTTAAAAGCCTTTCCCGAATTTAGAAAAATAGCTAGTGAATAAATTCAAGCTGTAAAGATAAACAGCTACTTAAAAGAACCATTAGAAGTATAATAATTTTGAGCAGAGTAGCTGATTCTTTTAAATCATAATAATAAGTCTTTAAAAGGGCGGAAAATGACCTTAACCGTTAAAACGCCCTTTAAAATAATTCTCTTAAAGCGGGCTCATAGCATAAGTACAAATAATTTTCCGTTATAAATTAACAAGGCAAATTATGGTTTGTGTTTTAAAGCGTTAAAATCAACTTCAAAAACATTTTTTGATTAATTTATTAGATTTATTACTAATTAGATTAATAGTGTTTTGATAATATGATGTTTTTTCGAAAATCGTCATACATAACTATCGTAGTCCGCCTATTCCTGCCAGTCAGATGCGTTTTTTATTCAACTAACTGCCCTCCCTCCTTTTCAAAATTAACTGATTATATAAAACTTTTTCTTACATTTTTTCTTTTAAAATATTCTATTTGACGAATTGTAGTTTCTAAAATACTGGGAGGATAGGTCGATATTTTATGTATGTAGTCGGGAACACTAGACGATTTAAAAGAATTCCTCCAACTAATTAATTATTTACGCACTAATATAAATTTTACATTGAAAATAAATAGATATGTTTATTTAAACTGAAAACTGTCCATAATAAACAACCTAATCGAAATAGATGTATATAGAAAACCCAAAACTTACTCATGACACCAGCAGATTCTTTTCACCCATGGACCCAAAAAGCTGCTGGTTTCATTTGCCTCATATACTGTATGTAAAAACTCCCATTAACACCTGCAAAATCCACAATAACCCCAAGGAATACCGAGTACTCTGGGGTAGTGTGAATGTAATTTATTAGTGTGAATGGAAGGGCATAACCACGAGGGATATCGAGTACCCTTGGTTAATGTGAACACTTACCAGACTATCATGTTTTTATCTTGTTTCTGTGTATTGTGTTTGATTTTTGTTTATTTTATCAACAACTGACGAGGCCCTGAGGTATAGAGAGGTTAGCAGTAGTACAAAAAAAAGGGAGATTTGGTTACCGTCGTACCATAAAATATCGTAACCCCACTGGAGAAACAGCAAAAGAATTTAGTTAAAAACGCGAGAAATGTAATCTTCATTACATCACACTTGGCAATCTTCAGTGGTAGGTCTGTGAGTTGTTTTTACATACATGTCCATTTCCTATGTTTGTTGAACTGGCATTCTTTGATCGGAAACCAAAATGCAGGTTGACCTTCAAAAACTCTCAAAATTTAAATAACTTTGTACAGCAACAAAAATCCATTGTATTTTAAAATTAAAAAACCCTTAATCTAAATGCATACAAAAAGGACAGACACGAGAAAAAAAACACTGACATTAACTGGCACATTTACACTCAGGCTGAAATAATATTTAATGGTTGTCTGTGCCAACCCAGACCCCAACATTCTTCACATTCTCTCTACTTTTAGATTATGAAGAAATAAATATAGTTATACTTAAAAATAAAATTAGTTTATTACATATTGCATTGTATATTTATTACCAACAACTTACTAGTTGTGACTGACTGGTTGTCATGTGTTCACCCATTATACAGGCTGATATTAACATTTTTTAACATCTACCTATCGTGCAATAGTTTTTCCCTTCCAAAACTTATAATGTTTATAATATTATAAGTTTAATAATATAACAAATCTCAGTGTAATGTACCTTTTACCTTATCCCCCAATCCTACTTGACAGACCAGTATTGCCATAACTGTAAGGAACATTCCTTTCTTCTTACATTACGGTAAAATATATAGTCCCCTTGATCCTTATTACAATGCTAACATTCCCCAAGCACAATCATCTCCACGTTTGATGGCATGGCTATCCTGTCACTCTAACCTCATTGTAAGCTCCTATCTGCAAAGTTAATAAGTCCATTAGAAGACTAGTGAATCGAAGTGAACAATAGAGACATTTGGAAGATAGGTGGCCCCCAAGTTTCAAGGTAGGGTCCAAATATGGTACACAGATGAAACAAGGAAGGAGTAGGCGTAGGGGTAAAAGGGCCAAACTTCACCCTAGCAAAACCCCTTGGACTAACCCCAACAATTTCCCAAGCTGAGGACCTGGCAATACAACTCTGAGCGTGTTAATAAAGAAACATTTGAAAAATGCCTAGATAAACATTCTCTCAGACAGTCAGGCAGTCATAAAGGCACTAAATGTGTATGCTTTCAACTCCAAACTTGTCTGGGAGTGCCTAAATTGCCAAATGATTCTGGGCTAAGAAAACGAAATTAACTTAAAGCACGTTCCTGGATATGAAGGCATAGAAGGAAATGAACAGGCTGACCAATTAGCCAAAAAAAGGGGCAACCCTCTCACCCATGGGTCCAGAACCTCAACTATGTACTCGGGGGTGAGTACTTATGTTGGAACTGGAAAGGTGGATTGAGCAAGAAAAACTCAAACCTTGGGCAAACACTCTAGGTATGAGGCACGCTAAGAGATGATTTGTAAATCTCTCAAAAAAGTAAAACGAAATAACTCCTCTTTTTCTCTCTCTCTCTCTCTCTCTCTCTCTCTCTCTCTCTCTCTCTCTCTCTCTCACTCACTCTCTCCTGGCAGGATTTGAGGAGTATTGTATACCTCTATACCGGCCATCTTCTTTAAACTATCACCTTAGAAAGATGGGCAAGGCTGTCAACATGCCAGCTCTGTCAGAAGGCATCTGTGATCGGCACATATCCTTTGCAAATGTAAAGCGTTGGCCTGTTTACGGTACAGCCCCTTCACCAGGACATTTTTCATACCCAAGGAGATCCATGAAAAGGCACCAAGGAAAGTGCTCAGTTTTAAAATGAGCACACTTTCCATGTTATAAAGTTGTAGGAGTTCCACAATAAACCTGTTTAGGTCGCAGTGAAAGAAAGAATTGTCTTCTGCATCAATCTCCCCCCTCCCTCCAAAAAAAAACACTACATACCCTCCTCTACAGACCCATCAGCCTTCTTCCTGTGATGTACAAAATCCTTAAAAGACTCCATTTAAAGAGTCCTTTCATCATATTGAGTGCCAGTGTGGGTTCCAGGAGCAGTGGTGGCCATAGTGTACGATGGGAGAAAATTTGTAACAAATATATTTGCAACACATATTTTTATGTCTCATGGATTAGGGCTACTGTCACAATCAATTGACCACAACCCTAATCCATGAGACTTTTATAGAGTAAAAGCAGGGTGATCGCATAGAAAATACGATGTACTTTTCTACGTACAGATTATACATAAATTATTTATATTACACAGAATACGTAAGTCTTAATTTTCACATGGACACGATATATTTATTAATATTGACTTACGTTTTGTTTTTCATAATATTAAGTATGTCAAACATTTTTGATTTGCATAATAGCTTGTTTAACAAATGGGAGTGGTTTGTTTCTCAATAAAACAGACAAGTCTGAAGTAATAATTTTATTTCATACTTTTTTTCTTGTAAACAAATAAGTCACATTTTTATATTTTGTACTATCGATTAAATACCTTTAAATGCTAATATTAACTTCCAGGTGGCAGTTTTTATTTCTATTTCATTAGTTTTATATATGACCTTGAATCAGGCAAAAAAGAAACCGATTTAACATACAAAATATAAATTTTGTCTAGTTGTTATCAAAAAAATTTTACAATAGGACCAAACAACTTCATTTGTAAATTATTGCACAGTATATTTAATTAAAACATTCACTATATTTTAAAGATACGATGAAGAAAATACAACACTTGAAAAAACAACATAAAAAGTAACCTGATTTTTTTTTCACATTCAAAATAAAATTCAGTCCAATCGTTTGTTTGGCAATCATTAGTTGTTTTTTTAAATAGAGCTGAAATAAATTGCCAAATGAGATCAATAGAAAAATATTTTAAAACAAAAAATTAAAGCTCATCTAATATAACAAATTTTCTTTTTCACAGAGTCGACACGTCATTATAATACAACACACATCTCAGTTATTTTAAGTTTATATTTTCAATTAGATAAGATAGATATAATAAATGACTACACACTCTACATTACAGAGATTACGGGTGTTTCATGTGATATCTTTATTTTTGTTATCACAATAGAATTTTAATAAGTATACTTTCTGTTCATAATAAAAAAACTTTCAATATCACATGAGCGACAATATGAACTATGGGGACATCAAAGGACTAAGTCCATTAAGAAATGCATCTCTGAAGAAAAAGAAGGCAATTCCATTTGCTATAAAAATCTCAACAAAAATTTCTTTTCTAATCCAAAATCAATTGACTTTTAAAATTATTCAGTAGAAAATTACCTAAAACGAGACTGTTGATTTAAACAGGGTAATCAGACATAAAACAAAATCGGGAAATAAACATAAACTTGGGGATTTATGACCAGCATGAATGCTCCCGTATTTTCCTGGAATTTCAAATATGAAAATTACAAAAGAATATCACAGAAAAAAAAAAGCAACAACCTTTCTTTTTAATAAAATGCCAACCTTTCCTTCATCTAAAATCTAATTTACTTATATTGAAATTGAGCTTACAAAATCATTCCAAATCACAAACAATCCTTAAACCCTAAGAAACATAAATTATAAGTTAATAACGGATGAAAAATATTTTTTTCCTTTGAAAAAAGAGGAACAAAGTTGGATTTTTTTTTTTAGATTAACACACATAAAAATTGCAAGTGGCACATTTTAATAAGTGATTGTGGAAAATGTGCATATCACAACAACAAACAGTTTTTTTTTTTGTCAAAGTTTCAAAAAGTAATAAATATTCTTTCTGTTTATCCAAACAAAACAAAAACATCTCTAACATTATCATTATTGAGCTATAATAATAATAAAGATAATAATTATTACAACTGAAGCCAAAAACAGTATCAATACTGTACAAAGTCTTAATGAAAACAAATATCAAGGGGAGGGGGAAATTTCATCTAAAAAAAAGATAAGTTGCTATTCTATTAGATTAAACATTATACTTTTTCAAATTGTTTACTTCATTGTTTCGTTGATTCATGCAAATATTCAGATAAACAAATGGAATATGCACTTTTTGAATGCTTTATTCCTTGAAGTTTACATTAGATATTCAAGACATCACAAAATTTGTTGTTTAATACTTTAAACTTTTTTCCATTTTTGTCCCTTCTTTACGCTCAAAGGTCAATTTTTTATCAAATACCTGAGTAATAAATTTAATTTTTAATCAATTAATACTGTTAAAAAAGATGTTTCACATCAAAGTACACGTTAAATTTCATCAACAATTAAAATTTTTAGAGAATCGAGTTTATGAATACAGTGATACGTCTTAATAAATCTTTTTTTTTCACTCGTTACTATTAAGCTCCTTAATTAAATATTAAAAATATGTAATTTAAGCATAAAATTTAGAATAGTTAATGTTTCATCTGATATAAAAATTAGACTTAATTTAGTTAAATTATATGTATTATTAAATGAACTGGAGCAACAACCCTGAAATTTGTATAAAAAGGAATTAAAAAAAAAAAAAAAAATCAAATGGAAGGAACCGAAATTTAACGAACGCCCTCAACTTGCTACCTTTTCTTTTTGATTTTTTTCTTATAACCTTTTCCAAACCATCCAGGGTTAGTAGGAACTTTTTTCCCAGGCTCTGTGCTAGATGTCGGTTCAGTATTGTCATCATCAGAATCGCAACAGTAGCAGACAGGGCCACTAGGCGGGAGTTTTGTTTCTCTTTTCAAGTAAAAGAGACAGATTGGGGCACCGTAAACGTCCATGCAAAAATCACACTCGGTTTTGGGTTTTGTCAAATCGAGTGGTTCTTCGTAAATCTTGTTGTAATATTCAACATTTGTCTCCTTTAAAATCTTTTTCGCTATTTCCTGATAGACTTTATCGAATATATCAACCTGAACTGAAAAACCTTCGGATACCTCCATTGATTGGCTAGGGACCTCCAATTCCGGTTCCGTTTTACATTCCCCGTTTGGAACTATTGTAATTTCATTGCTGAACGGGCGCCAAATATCTTTTTCTTTCTTAATGTCGGATACGATCTTCTCAATTTTGTTCTCATTTATCGGCTCGAACTGCATATTCTCATCAGTTGGCTCAGACTTTACCTCTGGACTGACTAGCATTTGGGTCGATGTGGTATGTTCCTCCAGCTCGTGAAGGAGTGTTGCATGTGTGAATATTGGATCCAGTTTCCGATCGTACTTTGGGACGGGTATACCTAAATACTCCATTGTGATACGCATCACGTCATCACATTTACCTTTAAAAAGAAAGACAAAATTAAAATTATAATTTTTTTAATTGATCTAGAAATGAAAACAGTGAGTTGTACACTCACTACTGACAGATTATGTACAAATAAATTAACATTATATTTACCATTTATTTTTAGAGAAGCTTGGTCATCTTTAGGAGTCCACTGGAGATTTACAATGTAGAGTTGTGGACGTTTTTTAACAGGTTTATCCATACCCCATAACCAAGGGTATTTCTTTAATACTTTAAGGCTTGAACCAATACAGAGTATCATGTCCGCTTGCTTCGCCGCTTGACAAGCACCAGACCAATTGATAGGCCACGCCAGGCTGCCCCGTTCCCCAAAATGGACAATTGTATCCTTCAATGGCTGGCAGCACTGGGAACACCTACGGGCTGTGTGGTGGGCATACCGAGCCGTATGCTGGGTCACGTCGAATGACCTCCACACCTGTATGTTGCAGTCATTGCACACTTCAAGGTTCATATTTCCATGGACCTCGGAGAGCACTCTCCTGGGCAGGCCACTCCTTAGATGGAGCCCATCACAGTTCTGTGACACGACATACTTGAGAAGCCCCCTCCGGAACATAGCAAATAATGCCATGTGGGCTAATGTCGGCTCAGCTACTGACAAATCATGGTTCCTGGATAGACAAAAAAAAATATTCCAGAATGACTATCCTAACACAATACACTTCATAGTACATTGTACAAAGTGTAGTACATACAAGAAAAAGTAAAAATAATAATTAATAAATAGAATCTCTCCCTGGGAACAAGAAATCTTAAATACCTGTAGTTTGATTATTACCAATTATTTTCGTTTGCCTACTCTCACTGATTTGGTTTGTCGTACACATTTTGCCTCTCCAGCAATGAAGATGGCGAAATGCCAAAATGCATCCGATAGACCAAACCAGAGAAGACAGGCAGAGCAAAATGATCCGTATTGCTCAAACTGTAGGTTCATCAACCTGAAGGACACATGGAAAAATCTTCCAATCTAAGAATCTAATTAGGTTTTAAATTGAAGAATGTTCCAATTGAACAAACGATAGTAGGAAGAAATTTAGGCTTTTAATAGTGATATGGTACTACGCAGTGAAATGTACATCTCAAAACACTGTAGTCTGCAGGTTATATAAAGGCTCAGAAGAAATGGTTAAAGTAAAAAATGACTGATTTATCACAGGACTTAATAGAATTGGCAAAGAGACATGTTATCTGGTTTTTTATTGTCACCTGACCCCTGTCAATTTGTTGTGAAAGGCACCTTAGTCTAGTTAATTTCTGCACCCTCAAAGCAAAATTGGGAAAGTCTATGTAATAAAAGAGGCTTGCTGTTTGTGACAAAACACGATAAGCTAATGTCAAATTATAATTTTTTTAAATAATAACTGTATCTGTAAATTTTGGATTGGTTAGTAATGAAAGGTATGTAGGGACGATTTTAACGTCCCCCGAAGGCGGGAGAGGGTCAACGACCTTAAAATAAAAACAACAAATTTAAACTGTACAGTGACTGACCCGATGTCTTTCCCCTGCTGTAGCCTGGTCCAAATGCCGTTGCTGCCCCTGTAGTCTGGTATACTGGCCGCCGTGCTGACCCCGGCCCCGCTGTAAACGACCAGATGCTGAGACTTCTGTATCGCCTCGGCGAGCTTTCGACACTTCTCCTTGAGGACGGATTCGCCGTCTTCGAACTCTTCCGCCCTCGCCTGCAGCTTTTTGCGCTTTTCCAACCTGGAAAAACATCACCGACGTCGATTGGTCGTGGCCCAAATTTTACGTTAAACTCCGACTCACTTGAGATTCACGAGCTTGACGATATCCGAGCATTTCGACAACAATTCCTTCTCCTCGTCTGTCCTTTGGTCTTCCGGTTTTTGCAGTATTTTCGCGACCTGGAACAGTACAGAGAAAACTGTAGTGTTTCAACAAGACCGAATTCGTTTAAAACTTTCACTTTTTTATGGGTATTGTTACTGTACCTTGAGATGTGTCTTGTCCTTCTCTTTTTTAACGGAAAATGAGACGTTAAGGGACGCTTTCCTCCTGAGACCGCTCGGGATTATCGAGCCCTCATCACCCATAATACTACAAACGACCCGTTTCGAATTATTATCCTCTTTTCGAAAACTCTTCTCCGAGTCTAATTAATCTCGTCTTTCCTCATTTCGACCTTTTTTCCCTCAGAGTAGACGGAAGACAGAATTTGTTTCACAGCCCGAACGGTACACACTTGGGTAGGCAAACAAACGAGTTGCAAACATCCAGGACAAAATAAAACAACACTGTTCTCTCTCTCTCTCGTCTAGTGCGTGACGGGCATGCACCCTCGCCCCAGGGCCTTCTTTTTTACATTTTACCTTTCAATTGCCGGCAGCCCTTAAACAGGCTACCTCAAGGGTGCCTATAGTTTGATTTGTTATATAAATTTATATAGTTTTCTTTTGCACCAGGCAATTTGGTCCAATTGTATAAAAAAAATAAAATAAAAAACATTTGTAATTGTAAGTACATCGGGTTCGAATGCGGAGCCGCTGGATTTGAACTCGGGACCTTTACCTTATAGCGATGAGCGCCGTGTCAAAGCCTAAACCGTTGTGCCCCCCCTTTATAATTATATGTAAAAATGAAATTAAAAATTATTATTTAAACTAATTAAATTATTAAGACCTTTTTTTTTTTTGCATTTATTTATAATTTAATACAATAAGTTCTTCAAATAAAAGTGCATGATTAAGGCACAGTAAGCCGAATCATTGTACATTTGAACAATTCTTGAAAATGAAAAAAAAGGTCTAAAAATAATAAAAATTTGCGGTTTTTTTTACAAAAAAAAAAAATTATACATCCATAAAAAGGAAAAAAGGGTGGACAACAAAACGAAAAAAAAGAAATTTTAAATTAAAAAACAATCCATATTTCAGGATTTAATTTTAAATTATTATATAAAAATGAAAATATTATTTAAACTAGTTAAATTATTAATCGTCTTTTTTTATTTTTTGCATTTATTTATAATTTAGTACAATTATTTCCTGAAATAAAATACATGATTATGGCATAGTATGCACAAAAGTGGTGCATTTGAAAAATTCTTTGAATTGACAAAAGAAGGTATAAAAATAACAAAAAATCTGTTCTTTTTTTTACAAAAAAAATTGAAAATTAAACATTCATAAAAAGGAAGGAAAACTTTAAAAGGAAGGACAACAAAAACTAAGAAAGGAATATTTCAATAAAAAAAATAATAATAACATAGTCCATATTTTCAAGTTTTACTTAAACATTGTTACGTAAAAATGAAAAAGAAATATGTATTATTATTTGATCTAATTAAATTAAAACAATCTATATTTTATTTAATGTTTTGTATTTATTTATAATTTAGAACAACTTAATGCTTAATTATTAAAAGAACTTTTAAAAAATCCTTAGAAATAACAAAAATTAAACATTCCATAAAAATTATATGGAAAAAAATGACTATCAACTTTAATCTTTTGGTTTTCAAATTTTTGAATGGCTATGTTGAGATTGTTACAAGAAGTTAAAAAGAAAATCAAAATAATAATATTTTAATTTAAAATAAACGATATATTGCTATAAATTAATAATTTAATTAATTATATAAATAATAATATGGCTGATTACTTGAAATACAATCCTATATTAAATAATGGAGCAGCGACAGCTAGATCACAAAGATATTTACAATTGTACAGATGACAGAGTGGGGGAAAATTTATATTTGAGTTTTTCGTTTCAGTTGATACAATCAATACTGTTGGAATGGAATCTTCCAAAACAAATAAAAATCCTTTTTCTCAGATTACGGGGATGTTTATTTATTTAATTTTCATTAAACAATTTTAATTAATTAATTGTTAAGTGTATGTAGGAAGAGGGAGCATGACAGATGTGTATCTGGTGTATTGATTAATATATTTTTTTCCCAGCGACTCGGCGGGGATGCGGCATCGCCCAGCCAGCCACCTCCCCCCTCGAGTGTGGAGCGGGGCACGCATCCGTCCTTTTGTTGTTTTCACACCTGCTAACCTCGAATGGGGGGCGGGCGGCCGGCGGCGGGTGGAGAAGGTCCGGCCACCGATGCGAAGAGGGTCGGATTCGGGACCGGCTCGTCTCGGGCTTTCCAACGAGGTGTCGAAAGCCGGGTCGCAACCTTGGATTTTCGGCCCCCTTCCGCACGCCGGCGGCCCCGCCGAGGAAGCGAAATAACGGAAGAACGGGCTGAGGCCTCGTTTCACAAGAATTGAATGGCCCGGAGAGCGGAAGGCTAGCCGCTGACTGAAGTCGTGGAGCAGCCCTTTCACTAACATCGGGGACGTCACACGAATCCGACTTTCAGTTCCAATACCCACAAAAATAAATAATAATAATATGTTTTACGGAGTAAATCCAATTTTCAAAAATCATATAATATTATAGGGACCGGATTTATATATATTCACTTTTTTCTCTGGTTTACTACACCGTTTTTGAAACTTTCTATCTCATGTTTTATGTTATTAAAAGCAAATAAACATTTTGCAAATTTATAAATATTTAAAAGACTTTATTACATATAATTACATATTTTATCTTATTTGACATATTTTGGCCCATATTTAATAAAAATGAACAACAAAATTATTGAAAACGTACGAAAAATGTAAGAAGGTCTTCATTGTACTAAATATTTCAAGACATAAACAAAAAATTTCAAGAAAAGTGAATTTTCAGATATGGATTCTTTGAAATTTATTTATTTTAAAGTTTTTTTGCATACAATTGGTCTTCTAAAAACAGGAATAATAGATTTGTAAATTTTAACTTATAATTACAATTTTGCATTATTTTACATAAATGTACAAAATATGTAAGAAGGATTTCAATGAACTAAATATTTCAAGACGTAAATCAAAAAATTCGAGTAAATTTTCAAATATGGATCCGTTCATATTTATTTTTATTTAGAAATCGTGAGATGCGGTCTGGTGTGAAGTAGGTTTCAGAAAAACATTTTCTTTATCGTGCCAACGTTTCGATCTTTATTGAGATCATCTTCAGGGCCTGGGATTTACAAACATTGTTTACATTTAACAAATACATGTAGGATGTGGAAAAAAGTGAATTTATACAATGCAAAATATATATTTTTTATATATTCAATCAATTTCTATTTTCTAGATTTCTAAATAAATATCGATTAACGGTCACTAATCACCACACATATTTATTTATTTAAAAGTTATTTTCTGCATAAATTTGGCATTCCAAAAAAAAAGGAATAATTAAAGCTTTGGATGGCAACAGGATAGATTAGATTATGTGTGAATTTGTACATTTGTAAATATTTAAAAGATTTTAACTTATAATTACATATTTCGCCTTGATTTACATATTTTAGCCCATATTCGTAATAAATAAACAACGAAATTATCGAAAATTTAAAAAATGTACAAAATATATTAGAACGGTTTCAATAAACTAAATGTTTCAAGACGTAAACAAAAAATTTCGAGAAAAGTGAATTTTCAGATATGGATTCTTTGATATTTATTTATTAATTTATTTAAAGTTTTTTTGCATACATTTCGTCTTCCAAAAATGGAATAATTAAAGCTTTGGATGACAAATTTTGACATCAGAGCTTTATAGCACTTAGAATGGGTATAGCTAACTTAAGATATTAGTTTTAAATGTATCAGTTAGGACGTGAAATGACCTTAGGCGTTAAAACGCCCTTAAAAATTAATAATAATAATAATAATAGAAATTTGTGCTTTGGAGTATTTCATAAGCCATAAAATATAACCTCATAAAATATAATGAAATGTACAAAACAATAATGTTCTTGCTGTTTGTGTTATTTTATCCACAATTGGCGAGGCCCTGCGGTACAAAGAGGCTAGCAATAGGAAAAAGAAAACAGAGTTAATTACATAATATATCATAACTTGGCAGGAGAAAGAGTAAAAAAAAATAGTCGGTTTAAAATGCGAGAAAGATGAAAAAAAAATAAAAGCATGATAGGGACTCATGTAGTTCGCAGGCCCTATTTACTTTATTCAATAAATAAATCCTAAAAATTTAAATTTCTTTTGATGCTTTTAGTTACAACTAATGAACAAGGTATGATTAGGTACAGCTATCGTCAATTTGACCAATATTGACATCAAAAAGGAGGAAAAGATACTATTCGAAATTCTCTTCTGTAAGATTATATCTTTGGAGGCAAACAAAGAGGGAAGGTATTTCATTTCGCTTTATTAAATATCATTGTGCAAATACTGACTAAATTGTATTTGTACAATAATCGAAACATCAATTAACCTTGGGATTGTATGTATAAGAGACGAAAAAGTCCTTTCCGACAGTCTCATTGTGCGTACAGAGGAAATTTGGGAAATTGTATTTTTATTTGGTGGGCAGTCGACTTGTAACAGCGTTACGACGATCCTTTGTTGAAATCCTTATATAAAATTAAATTTATTTTATGTTTGTCGGTTTGGTTACCTACGATATGTGGACTTTTTATTATTCTACATGACAAAAGTATATTTTAAGTGAGAAAAGACCTTTTTGCGCTTTACTGTCAAAATTATGGCAAATTATATTATGAAAATGGCCAACGACGATTGGAAGGTCGATTTTACTTTTCCGAGACCGTCGAAGGACATCGAAAGGACCGCAAAGTAGAAAATAGAGAGAAAGTAAATCCCCTGTGATTTTGGGGACATCGTCGCCACGTGGCATGTGGCAGATGTCTTCAGAAGGACAAACGGTATTGGAAATAAAAATAACGCCTTTTCGTTTGAGGATAAGAGAATTATCTGTACATAGAATATAATAGAAAGCATTTACAATTGGCCAAGAGGAGGATTGGAGTTGATTTTTTTGACAATTCAATTTTTATTGAATTACACATTTGTTTCAGAAATTATTCCAAGGTTTTTACATTTTTGTAAACGAATTTTATTACATCACAATTACAATTTCTTTCAATTAATTAATCTGTATTTAAGGTATTGGTTGAGATAAAAAAGTCAGTGTCACAAGCGGGATTCGAACCCACGACCTTCGGCCTTGGTGTCCGAGTGGATCGAAGACAAGATAGCTCAAGTGGTAGAGCAGCGGCGTATTTGCCGAAGGTCGTGGGTTCGAATCCCGCTTGTGACACTGACTTTTTTATCTCAACCAATACCTTAAATACTGATTAATTAATTGAAAGATATTATTTGGTCAAGTGGACCACGAAAACTAGTGAATTACAATATCTGTTAATTCTTTTTGTGTATTTACAAGTGCTGCATCTTCTGCAAAACAAAAAGGTTTTGATTTTAAAGACCATAAATGAAATCAGAACCGGTCCCTGCGTGGAAACTGGTCCTTGCGTTTTGATGGTTAATGTTAGACAATTTTTTTTTTTAAATTTGTAATAAAGCAAAAACTTTATTTAGCAACATTAAGTAACACGTAATGTGTTAAATGTACATTGAAGTAACATTAGGTTTTATACGTTATTAATTTAAAAAAAGGAAAAATTTCGTCTGAAAATAACGGACAAATTTGAATAAGACTGATTAGTCTTAATAATTCCATATTGAAAATAAAACAACTTATAAGAACATAATTTTTTAACAACTTGTTTAACTATATGTAATACGTTTAAAAAAATTTCAATTGTATGCCTCTCAAACCATATTTCTGCATTTTCGTTATTAAAACCTTATTGTCAATGCAATCAACGGCTTTTGAGATATCCAGAAAAAGACCGATAACGTGATCACCGTTATTTGTTACATCAAATATAGCATTGGAGATAGAAAATACCTTTTGAAAAACCAGATTTTTACTAATGGCACGAAAAAAAGGCTTTTTCCAAAAGATTTTACAAATTAAGAAATTGATTTTGGTCTATAAATATTACAATTTTTTAAAAATCGTATTTACATAAATTCAAACAAGTTGTGTTTCTAATTAGGAATATTAAATGGAAATGACGAAATTAAAATGGAAAATGTTGAATACTTAACGGAAAAGTCGAAATGTAAATGGAAAAAGTCGAATATTACACTGAAGAAGTCAAATATTAAAAGGAAAATGTAGTCTTGTTAATGTCGAAATATAAATGTTAAAAGTAGAATATTAAATGGAAAGGTCGAAATGAAAAAAAAAGGAATATTAAATGGAAAAGACTAAATGGAAAATGTTGAATATTAAATGAAAATCTTAATGTGCAAACATAAATGTTAAAAGTAGTATATTAATCGGAAAAAGTCGAATATTAAATTGAAAAGTCGAAATGTAAATAAAAAAATTAAATAAAGTCTTCTTCTTTTTCCATTTATTTCGAGATTAACAATACTTTCTTTCAATTTTCGACTTTTTCTATTTACATTTCTACTTTTCCTTTTAATATTCTACTCTTTGCGTTTCATATTCTTCATTTTTGACTTTTTTCCTTTAATATACTACTTTTTACATTTATGTTTCGACATTAACAAAACGTTTTCATTTAATAGTCGACTTTTCCATTAATTCCGTTTAATATTCTTTTTCCAAGTATATTTCTTCGTAAAAAACAACTTTTTCATTTAATATTCGATTGTTTCCATTTACATTCCGACTTTTCCATCTAATATTCTCCTTTTTCCGTTTATATTCCTACGTTAAAAAAACTTTTTCATTTAATATTCGATCTTTTCCATTTACATTTCTACTTTTCCATTTAGTATTCTACTTTTTCCGTTTAATACACTACTTTTTCCATTTGTATTTCTACATAAAAAATTTTTATTTAGTATTCGATCTTTTCCATTTATATTTTGACTTTTCATTCAGTTCAGTATTTATTTAAACAGAAAATAAATATGACAACTTCATTTGGGACAAAAGACGCGAAAATGTTGCTAAAAGTACAAACTAAACCTTTAATTAAGACTGCAAAACCTACGCAATAATTAATCCATAATGAAAAATGAAAAAAAAAAAACATTGTAAACACAGGTAATTTCTATAATATAATGTGTGTATTTTTTTCAGCCTTTATTGTAGTCTGAGGTTTATTAAAATCCTTGATGAATTCTGCTCAAGGATGTTATTTTAATACAGATCATGAGAGTGCAATAAAGGCTGTAAAACTCTAAAAAATACACAACAACATACATTATATTATAGATAATTAAACATTATAACAAAAATAAACTGTACGTTTATGTAATATTTTGGACATGTGTTAAAATCTGTAACCTAAATGTAATTACATTAGCACAATACATAGAGATCGACTAGTTTTCAACCCACCGAAAACTTAGTGTTGTGTTTTTCGTCGGGTTGCCGGTTAGTAAAAGTAAATAGTAGTAAATTTAAATTTAAAATTAGTAAAATAAGTAAATAACAAATCCGTTGTTGGAAAGGCAGTGAGCTGTGGCCGCAAGCTGCCGGCTCGGCGGCGGGTACCGGTGTCAATGAACGGGTGACGGGCGACGGCTCCTCTCTCCTCGGTCGCCTTTTAGTCATTAACGTCCACTTCGCCCTGGGACTCGCGATAGTCCTCGGCTGGCCGCCAATCGATTTGCCCTCCTCGATCGGGATGCGGCATCGATTCTCTTTTACCTTTACTCTTCAGTCAATTAGTCCGAAAAAACATACATACCGAAGTAGGATTAACCTTTTTATTTTTATTTTATCTTTATTGTAAATGTGGAACGGGCTTAGTCGAATCGGGTTCCGGCGAGTTGGCTAGCCTATTTCATCCGCTCCCGGTATTGTGCCGAATCGAAATAATTGAACTGGAATGAGTCAAACGTATATTTATTTACTTTAATATAAGTGCACTCCGACTCGATCTTCTAATTACACACGGAGAGACACATCAAAGGCGAGAGATACGCGACCTTCTCTCCGACACCCGAATGAGGATATATTTATAAAAAAGCACGTTTCCCACCAGGTAAATAACAACAATTTATCAAAACAACGGGTTTTTCCTTAAAAACAGAATCAGGAGCTTGTTAAAAAAGTAACGCTCCGAGTGAAAATGGATGAACTAATTAATATACGGTAATTAAATATAATTCCGGATCGATAGAAACGTGACAAACGGGTGAAATGAGGCCGCGTTTTTAATTTTGTCTAGCTTTTTCGTTTTTAAATGTTATTGAAGTTAAAAAATATATATATAAAAAAGTGAAAGGCCCTCGTTCTATTTTAATCTTATCGAAATGAATTTATCTCGTGACGAGGCGTCGAAGGTCGCGTCCAAAAATCCGATAATAGGAAGCGGTCGGAGGGTGAACGCGGAGCCGAGCCGGAGCGGGATGGGTTGGCCGCCGCGGAGGAGTCTGAGGCCGAGGACGGAGCTGAGGAGCTACGCGGAGAGCCCGGACATCGTCGTCGTCTCGGATGACGAGCCCAAGACGAACGGCTATTTCAACGGGGCCTGCGAGACCGACGACGAAGACCTGCCTATGCCACCGTTGCCCCCGCTCAAGGAACTCACCGACGATGAGCTCTGCGAGAGGAAGAAGGTCGTCCGGAGGCTGAGGGACGAACTGAGGAACGAGGAGATGACGCTCGTCCTCCTCAAGAAGTTGAGGCAGTCGCACCAGATGAAGGAGAACATCGCAGTCGTGGCCCCTTGTACGGCGCCGCAGGCCGCCACTCCCACTCATACGAAGCAGGTGCCTCCTCCTCGCACCAGCAGCAAGCCGCCCGCTTCGGTCCAGCCGTCGGTACACCACCTGTTGAGACAGCCTTCGTTGGATGCAAGAGGCCCTCCGACTGTCCATGTGCCCCCACCTATCCCTAGTCGGAGTCATTCTTCCTCTGTGCCTTCGCTCCATCAATCCAACAGCATGCCGAGGAACAGTCTGGGCGGTCGGAACATGGGAATGGGTTATCCGCCGGAGAGAAAGGATCCAAGGCATTCCCCCGTCCCGCCTGTTGCCCAACAGCTCTCTGGCAACATCGACAAGGTTGGTCTCAACATGAGCATCACTCCTGTCGATCAGGACAGAATGAGGATGGACGAATCCCAAACCCCTGCACAAAGGCAAGCAGCTGCAAAACTGGCTCTTAGAAAGCAACTCGAGAAGACACTGCTTCAAATCCCTCCTCCAAAACCACCACCACCAGAGATGCACTTTATCCCGAATCCTTCGAACACGGAATTTATTTATTTAGTAGGTTTAGAGCATGTTGTCGATTTTATAACTAAAGACAATCGCAGTCCTCCCCCGCCTGAACCTTTCAGGTGTTCGCAGTGTTCGACGAATTTCACACCTGTGTGGAAATGGGAGAAAGGTAGTATTAAAAACAAAGAGCCACGGGTTATCTGTGAACAGTGCGTTACGTCAAATGTTAAAAAAGCTCTCAAGGCAGAACACACAAACCGGCTAAAAACGGCATTTGTCAAGGCTTTGCAACAGGAACAGGAGATAGAGCAGAGGCTAGCGCAGGGATCCCCTCAACCGGAACCACCAGTGCCCCCGCAGCCTCTTGTCAAGCCAGCCACCCCAAAGCCCCCTCCTGGGATACCTTCTCCCAACAGAGATCATCTGGCGAAATTGGCAGACACGGCCAAATTCAACCCTCATCACGCAGCGGCGGCTTTGCATCAACAGCTCCTCAGAGGCCTCCCTCAGCATCAGCCTCTTCCGGCTCACATGCTACCCTTTTCACCACTTCTGTACCCTTATCAGCTAGCAATGGCACAAGCGGCTGGTGGCAAAGGACCCGTTGCTGCAGCAGCAGCCAACATCGCCGAACTCCAGCGACAGGCTGTAGACATCCAGAGGCAATACTTACTCGACATGATACCAGCTTCACTACCCGGGAGTGTTCAGAGATCGGGGTCTGAATTTTATAAGTAAATTTAAATAACCAAAAACACATTTTGCTTATAAAAAAAAAAGAAAGAAAAGTATATGTACCTAATTGTTGTAAGTTGGATATTTATATGCCCAACACAATCTCTTTTAAAATTGTGTTCATGGGAAGTAGTCAGAATGGTAGCGGACTGTGATATTCATCTTCTTCGACGGGAAAAAGCTCCCCTTTTAGAATATCCCTTTCTGTTACAAAACACCCTGAAAGGAATTTTTTAATTCTCCGTTATGTGACATGTCCGGCAGGCATTGTCGTTGTGAAGCTCATGCCAACTTTTTGCTCAGAGGCTTTAGTGCTGCCCTGAAGGCCTACCGCCCAAATGAGGTAATTTTGGCTGAAATCTTGTCCGCAGCAAAAATTTAAAAAACTTAAAAAAATATATTACTTTTCGTTTTAATTGATTTTCCATGTTTAAAAAATTGTTTTTAACTAGACTCTTTGATCTACATTGTACTTTGTAAATATGAAGTAGAATATTGGTGTGTGGAAAAATAAAGATAAAAAAACTTTTATTTAAATTCTTAAAAACTATTGGTGTGTTATTTAAGACTTTTTACACTGTGTGACTAATTAAATTATGCGTTTTTTAACAATAGGTAGAAAAAAAGTTTATTGTTTTAAGTAAGTTTTCAAGCGGTTCTCTCACAGTACAGCCGCACAAAGTATATTTTCTTTTTTTTTTGTAAATATATTTATTTTTAAAATATCTTTTGACTTGTACACACATTTTTTATGTATTACACTGTACATAAATTGTATCGCCAATTATGGCATTTTACAAAATGAAAAATTTATTCTATTCTCTCCTTGCTGTTACTAAAATTGTCTTTAAAATAATTGTTTTAGCTTTTTTTTTAAATATATGTTGTAAATAAATGAATGTCTTCTTGCTTGACCCGTTCATATTCTTTTGTAACTGAGAGTAAATGAAAACTGTACGTCTTCCAGTTGGATGTGAAATTACCGTTAGAAAACATTATACTCGGCAAATCTAGTTATTGCAAAGATTATTATTAAAATATACATCGAAAAAAAAATTGTTATTATATAATTTATTTGAAGTTAAATTTTAAAAAAATTCTCTAGCTTGTTTTTTCATGTAATTTATGTATATTTTGACTGATGTATTCACTTGGAATTGAATTGGTATATATTTTTTTTCAACAATTTAAAATACATAATATACTTTTTTAATAATTAAATAAAACAATTAGATAATTATGTTATTGCTCAATTAATACCCCAAATGGATAGTTTTGTACTAGTATCCCAACGATTTTTGCACCCTCAGGGCAAAACTGGATAAGTCAAGTGCATATTTCAGCAAGTCTTAAGGCCCTTATATAACTGAGTAAGTTGAGAAAGAAGCTATTTCCTTTTATTTTGTATTTATTTATTGTATATATTTAATTTTATATCCATGAAATTTGAGATAAAAAGGTCAGTGTCAGAGATGGGATTCGAACCCAAGCTTAAGTAGTTAGAGTGTCAGGGGAGCAGTTCCGAAGACTGTGTTCTATAATGCCATCATTGACATTGACCTTTTTATCTCAAATTTTTTAGGTATAAAATTAAATATATATGATAAATAAATATTAAAAGAAATGAAAAAAAAAGATTATATTATTTACAAATGGCCCATCCTGATGGTGTATTACGATACATTTACATGATAAAAAATTGCATGGCTAAATAAAAATGAATTACAATAATATAAAATAAAAAATGATAATGGTATTAAAAAAGGGGAAGACAATAATGTCAACAATCATTGGTGTACAAAAAAGCATACTCAAACATCCGATGTGACTGCGCCTCAACTGGAAGCCCGCACCCAATGCCTTGAAAAATTGCCTTGATTTGTGAATTTGTAAACGATTTCTCCCATTCTGTTATACTGTTTCTTTATAAACATATTCTCCAAATATGAGTAACAATTAAATTTACAATGTTTTAATAATTTTTTAAATAAATGTACACCTACATTTGTATTACTGATTAAGTTCATGGTTGAAAATTCATTTTTCATCAGAGAGATGAGCTTGTGATCGAATAAAAATTAGCCATTTGAAGCCTAATTTAAAGCTTTTTGAAGAATTATTTTTCCCAACAAAACATTTCTAAACAATAAAAAAAAATTAATTAAAACAAAAAACAGTAGCTTGTTATATTAATATTAATCCAATTGAGATATTTATGAACATTGAAAAAAAACAACCAAAGTCCTAGTTGGAGCCCTGAGGGGCATCTACTATTGGTAAGGGGAGAGAAGGGCATGTCTTTATCATACCCTAATAAGATTCAATTATCTAAATACAACAAAACAAATTTATATGGCAACAAATTTAAATCTAAAGATAAGCTTTCAGACTTCAATATTGTAATCTATTAGGTGTATGTGAATTCATTTTGTTTCTTTCAAATCTGTGTAACTAAATGCAGAAAAAAATACATTTTAACTGTTGGTGTTCTCCTTTTCTTCTCTCTTATACTTTCCTTTTGTACCTACTTCTCTCCACCACTCATATTCAATTATATCAAGCCCTATTGTAATTTTTTTTAAATAAATATATTTCAATTTTTATTTCCATAATTCAGCCCTTTTTACATTACAACTATCTTCTAGGTATGGCTTGATACTACCATCATAATTTTTACTAAATCAGGCCAGTACACTATCAATATATAAATTAACTCTTGTCTACTTGTAAATTTTTGGTTGCAACGGAGGATTCTGAATTATGTGAGTATGATGTGTAAAGTATGGTGTGTTCGATTGTTTCCTTTCCTTCTTTTAGGCTATATAAAGGACAAATATACTTATTTTTTAAGTGTTTAACTCAAAAGTTATTAATTTTGCGAGAAAAAGTGATGGTTTGTGTACTTTTAATTTTTTTACACTAAATAGAAAAATAGATTCAGTTTTTCTTTTTTGGGGGGACATGGCTGTCGCTCCCTAGAAAAGGTCGGAAACCGGTTTTTTAAACCACGTAAAAAAATCGAATACCGATGGATGGAACACATACCAACGGATATGCTTAAATTCTACAAATAGTTATACATTTTTAATTTAAACGTCAATAAATATGATCTGTCTTTATACGTTTCCGCTTGAAACTAAACGGTTGGCAGCATTGATAATTCGTTCTCATGTCTGATGAAAACTCCGAGAACATAAAGAAGTTTTTATTTAAAGGCAAGAGCCTGAAGAACGAGAACGAGCAGGACGTCCTAGAAGTTCTAATTCCGGAAGTAAGTCTTAAAAAGTGTAATTTTTGTTGTAGATATAATTTGAAGAGATTGTACTAAAAGTTTACATTTTTTTTTTTTTTAGAAAGTACAAGCTAGTTATAATAGCTACACGTGGCCTTCTGCACCGATTTTGGCTTGGTTTCTTTGGCAGCACAGGTCGGAGCTGCCGGGAAAGCATATCATCGAGTTAGGAGCTGGTACAGCATTGCCGGGTATCGTAGCGGCCAAGTGCGGTGCGACTGTCACACTCACAGAAAGCGCAACTTTACCGAAAGCGTTGCAGCACATCAAGCATTGCTGTCAAGTGAATAACCTTAACAACAACCAGGTACGCGTCGCCGGTTTAACTTGGGGTCTCTTTTTGACTTCTACTTTAAACTTCGCCCCCATCGATCTTATAATCGGTTCCGATTGTTTCTACGACCCTTCCGTCTTCGAGGACATCATCGTGACTGTTTCTTTTCTCCTCGACAATAACCCTCAAGCGAGATTTCTCTCCGTATACCAAGAAAGGAGCGCCGACTGGTCTATAGAGCACCTTCTGAACAAGTGGGGTCTCAGGTGTGAACATCTCTCGATAAACAACCTAGGAGCCGAGTCAGGGATCGACATAAACGAGTTGATGCAAGATCACACTATCCACCTGCTGGAAATAACTAAAAGATAATTTCAATGGCTTCTGCAGTAAAACAAGTTCAGAAACTGTTTGTCTATAACCTCCCTTGGACTGTCAATAGTCAAAAGTTGAGAGCTTATTTTGCCAAATTCGGGCAGGTCAACTCTGCTAATGTGATTTTTGACAAAAACACTGGACTCTCTAGACATTACGGTTTCGTTGTGTTCAATAACCAGATTGCATTTGATGCTGCAAAACAAGCCAATAAGCACATAATAGACGGTTTTTCAGTTAACTTACAGAATACAAATTAATAACAGATTACGATGGATGTAGAAAAAGACGATTTGACATTGAAGTTCAATACAGCGGCGGATTTCTTACCTTCTTTAGTTCCATCTTTGAAGCCAGAAAAACTGCTCCAGTTCTACGGCCTCTATAAACAGTCGACAGTCGGAAAGTGCAATACCACCAAACCAAATTGGTATGCTTTAGAAGCGAAGCAAAAGTGGAACGCTTGGAACAGCCTCGGCAACATGTCGCAGGAAGACGCCATGAAAAATTACATATCGCTGATGACGGAGATCGCCCCCGACTGGGAGTCGACCAAGCACGCGCCTTCCAGCTGGGTCTCCGTCAGTAGAATGAGGGACAGCGACAGCGACTTGGACGATTCTGACAAAGACGTTTTCGATTATGTGAAAGAAGGCTGCATTGAGAAAGTGCGTATGATGGACAGCAAAGAAATAAACATGCTGGACGAAGATGGAATTGGTCTCATCCACTGGGCCGCCGACAGAGGCAACTCGGAAATGGTCAAATGCCTTCTCGAGCTCGGAGCCGACATAGATTTGAGAGACAGCACGGGACAGACTGCACTCCACTACGCCTGTGCCTGCGGCCACAAAGATGTAGTCAATTTACTTTTAAAAAGAAATGCTGATGTGAACATCACTTGCAAGGAAGGATTTTTGCCGATAGACATAGCAGATGAGGATGAAATTAGATCATGTATTGAATCTTCTAAATGTTCTTAATCTTACTTATTTGGTAGCTTTTGTAGTAACTATTATGTATTAATAAAATATTAAAAAGCATTCTTATTTGTTTGCCTTATTGCATATCTTCAGGAGCAAATCATTCAGGCCTTTTGTATATTTATGTAACAAATTGTTTTGTTGTACAATAATGAAAATTGAGGGATGTCGGTGGCTGCAATGGCTAAGGCTTTGACATGTGCTAAGGCAAAATTTTGTTCCCCCAATAGCATTGACACCCCAAGGGTGTACATGTCCATCTCTGCTATTGCGAACCAGGGGGGATGAAAATTGCAGTTTAGGTATTGATAACATCAATTCCATATTTATTTATTTTTTTTTACATTTTAAAAACATATATAATACAAGTATTCTTTAGACATTTTAATTGATAATAAAATGAGAAAATATAAAATTGTTTTTGACCCCTTACAACGCTCAGCGGTTAGTTCGACATTAAGACCTCCTGTATGGCAAGAGTTAGTTAATTAATAAAATAATGTTTTAGCAATATTAATAGTTTTATGAGGCATTTATCAAGAGGTTTACATGGCATGGGCACCTCAAGTAATATTGAGTACTGTGGGATAGTGTGAATGAATGCTTGAATGTAATTTATTAGCATGAATAGAGAGGTCTATCCTCAATCACCCCAAGGAATATTGTGTACTGGGGGGGGGGGTTATGAATGTAATTTATTAGCGTGAATATAGGGGCACATCACTAATTACCCCAAGGAATTCAAGTACTCTTTAGCAGTGTGACTGAATTGTGTGTACATATAATTTATTGCATAGACGAAGGGGCTTATCCCCTAATTACCCTAAGGAATATCAAGTACTCTGGGGTAGTGTGAATGAATTGTGGAGTGTGCATGTAATTTATTAGCATGAATGAAGAGGCTTATTCCCTAATTACCCCAAAGAATATTGAGCAATGGGGAGGGGGTAGTGTGAATGAATTCGTGAATGTAATTTATTAGCATGAATAGATAGGCATATCCCCTAATTACCCAAGGAATATCAAGTACTCTCAGTAGTGTGAATGAATTATGGAGTGTGCAAGTAATTTATTAGCGTGAATGGCAGGGTTTATTCCTGAGGAGTACTGAGTAGTGTGAATGCTTACCAGGCTATCGTGTTTTCAACTTGTTTATGTGTATTGTGTTTGGTATTTGAGTTAATCCACAATTCACAAGACCATGGGGTACAGATAGCTTAAGAAAAGATAGAGTTGGTTAACGATATTTCATATATTAAAACTTAGCTGAAGAAAGAGGAAAATAATTTAGTAGATTTAAAATGCAAGAAAGGAAAAAGTAAGAGAGGGCTTGCAATGATGTATGTAACTTATAGTACAAAAAAAAGTTTTACTTATAAAAGAAAGCAACTACAATCAAATAAATTAGCATAGTTGAGAAATACTTGAGGTTCTTATCAAAAACATAAAAATAAATTGTCCTGGTAATAATAAAATAATTTATTATATTAAATAATAATAAGATAAAATTAAAATTATTAATTTGTGATGTCCCATTCTTAAATATGTACTTGTAGTGTGAAGTCAATTTAAAGCATCACTTCCAGGGTTTTTTTAAATTCTTTGTGTTTTATGAAAATTGTGGCCAGTAAACAAATCAAAATTGAAAAGTAGGTAAAAAGTAAGACAAAAAAAAAAAAAAAAAAAAACCTGCAGTTTGTTTTCATCTTGTCTCTAAGCAACCGAAGAACCTCCATAGTACATTTTCTAGTTTATACGAAATCCAAATGCTAAATCAATGTTGACTTGTGTTTAAAATGCCAATGCGACTGTTTAGAGGAAAACTTGTTTTAATAGGTGATTAAGACTTTAAACAATTATATTCACAACCTTTATTTCAAAGGGCACACTTTCATGTATTAGTTAAATATGAAAACAAGCAAAAGCAATTATAATTTCTAATTGACTATATTTTTAACTAAAGGAAGTACACTTCTAATAATAAATTTGGCATATAATGTAGGAGATGCGGCAGTTGGAAAGAGTGCTATTTGTCAGACTTTTGCCACCGATGGCAGCGAATTTCCCAAAAATTACAACATGGTAAGTAGCCGATAAAAGCTAAATTGTATTCAATAAAAAAACCTGCAGTTTTAGACCCTTGGTGCTGAGGTGTATCAGAAGCAAATACAAATCTCAGGGACAGAGGACCTTGTCGAGCTTCTGATTTATGACTCGCCGAGTTTTGAAATGTACATCGAACTGCTGGACAGTTTTGTAAGAGAAATCAACTCTTAAAATTGAGTTCATGTTTTGAAAGTGTTGTGGATTTCAAGTGGAGGAGTCCGCATTTGCTCATGGTTGTTTATGACGTGACGAACAAGAAATCACTTGAGGCTGTGAGCGACTGGGTTTCGACAGCGAGGCAAGTACAGTGGCAAGGGCCGAACAATGGGCCGATCGCGTCTGTTCTGTTCGCGAACAAAGACGACCTCGAGCAACGGAGGCAATGTGGGGAAAACGAAGGACTCGAAATGGCCGAACAATATTTAATGAAATTTTTTACAGGTTCTGCTGTAAGTTTGCCACAATCCTTTTCAACTTCATTCTTTAAACATGTAAAAATTCTTTATTTGCAGAAAAACAACCAAGGGCTTGAAGATCCATTTCGATATCTTGCAAACGCTTTTTATCAGCATTCAATAACAGAACCACCATTTTATGAATGAATTAAATTAATAAATTATATTAAGTGAAATAAACATTTTTTAAAAAATAACTTCATTTTTTGATGTACTCAATGCATTTTAAAGGGTCGGGTCTTCGACACTTCCTCTTGGATTTCTTTAACGGATGTTTGTCTTCAAGAGCTGGATGAGAAATGGTTACCCAGCTGCTAGTACCCTCCACCCCATCATCATCTTCATCCTCATTCTTTTTACTTCTCTTCTATAAGAAATCAAGTTTGAGTTGGCTGTTTATTCAATTTTACATAAAGAAAATCACAATTTTCGATTCATGGAATTTCAGTAGAGCTGTGTAAAGCCCTGAGGAGTTGAGGCCAACTTTGTACTCTTGGACAATATCAACAAGAGCTAAGGACTGCTCCATTTTTTCAATTAAGACACCTTGAGGAGGTGTTAATTCACGGCTCTTGTCATCGGGCAACCAGAGATCCTGGCACACGATTGGTTTTATTAATAAAGAATCGTGACCTAAAATTAAACCATTTATTATAAAATAATTCTGATTTAATTTTATTATTATTTACTCGGCATCAGTACAAAATATCCTGTGGGTGGTTCGTCTGTTAATTTTGCTATGAGGTATTCCTCTTTGTTTAAAAGTGAAATGCATAAAGAATAAAACTTCTAAAAACAAGATTATATGATACGATTAAAAAACAAAGTTACACCAACAGACTATAATATATATTATTTAGTATTTATAGATTATTATATATATTTGAGAGTTCTTTGTGTGGTCTGCAAGGTGACAAACCTGAATTTTAGTCTTTACAGATCATCCTATCCTCATAGTGCTGGTCTGTCAAACATATTTTGCCATCCTCATTGTTGGATGTTTAGTTAGGTTAGTTAGGCAATTCCTGACTTACTAGAAAGCTTAATGTCAAAAAAAAAAAAAAAAAAAAATGGGGGCTGCAATGATTAAGGCAACACAGCACAAATGTAAAGGTCCTGGGTTCGAATCCAGTGGCTCCAAATTCAAACGTGAAAATTTACTTTTTTTTTTTTTTAACAATGGCATCCCAAGGTTCATATAACCTCGTAGCCATGGGCTCTGCTGGAATTCGAACCCAGAACCACTAGCACCGGCAAATACAAGTCTGACTGTTCATTAATAATTATTTAGAGTAATTTATGTCATACAGGAGGGCTTAAAGGAACTTTTTTCAAATTATTATTTATCTTCCTAAAAAGAGTTTCTTTAAATTAGAAATAGTCCAAAAAACATGTGGATTTTTTTATTATTTATAAGTGTTTATTTATATATAATATATATAATATAATATAATATATATATTATTTATAAGTGTATATTTATATTAAGGTTATTTTATTTCGCATTTTTTCTTTTACGTTTTGGGCTATTTTTCTTTTTCTGCCCATCAGCAAGAAACCCTAACAAGAAGTACAGTCAAATTAGATACATTATAGCAGTAATAAATATCATTTACATTTTTATTTTATGGTTAAAAACAATATTAATTACCTAGCAGTCTCGCCTACCATCCCATTGGTTTTTTTCTCCAACTCAGGTTTACCTCGCTAAGCAATCATCTTTTTAAATGAAATATTCTTTAATATTGTGGTCTACCTACCCTGACTAGATTGGTTTGTTTGGCCAAAATGATCAGTAACGACCAAATTGCAGGTTCATCACCCCTCAGAGAATTTTTTTTGAATTTTTATTATTACTTCCCATACAACTTGATCCGTTTAATAATTCGCAATAATGCATATAAATGATTTTAATTCGATACCTGCTTGTTGATAAGAAGAGCATCTTCATACACTCCTTGACAAAATGCTGTTGGTACAACGTTAAGTGCTTCTCCAAAAATAAGAGACTCGCATAGACCAGATGACAATACTCTCAATGTTACTTGAAGTTCATAAACTTTTGATTCACATTGGATTTTCACTAAAATTAGAAAAATAAAAATCTAAAATTTAAAAAGATTAAATTAAATAATACACCTTTCTTCTGAGAAATGTTCCCACAACTTGTGTCTTTTTGAATGTAAAATTTGTGGGAAAATGTTAGTAAACTTGGTCGCAGCATATTCTCCTTTAGGTCACACAAAATTGCATCATCAGGGAGCAACAGCCTCAATTGTTCCCTGTTGTATTTTTTATTGAAAAGCCATTTTTTCAAAGAACACACAATATCGTCTTTTGTTTTCAACTACAATTAAGATTGTATAAAGATAATAGTTTACTAAAAAAAAAAAAATCAAGTCAAACTTTATAATAATCTTCAATATTGGTCTCTTCTTCCTCTTTTCTCTTCAGTACAAGTTGTAATACCTTAAATAATGTTAATGAGGCAAGAAACATAACAAATACGAAAGATAAACTTAAACACATTTTTTTACTGTGTTTCCTTTCAGGTGTAGTTTGAAATGATAGGACATTAAAGAGTTTAAAAAATATTTTATGTCCATTGCATTTTTTAGAGTGATTACGCAAACATCTACATCATAAACTTCATCACATAAATCCAATATCTAAAATTAATGTTGATTAAAAACGTAAAAAGTATCCTTTTACAAGATTTGTTTAAAAACCTTATTTTCAGTTTTTAAGTCTTCGATGATTGAATTTATTCCAACAACTAAATAATCATTGAATTCTTCATTTTTAATTTGGAAATTCGTTGTCATCTTGTTTGAACGTTGATATTAGAACATGGATTTTATATTTCTTTTTAAATAAATTTGCATTACCGAGTTTTTCGCATTGTTGAGCGCTTTTGATATTTTGCCAAAACTACCGTATGACATTGTCGATTTGAGTAGCGTTTCATATTTATCACTTATAGCACCAATGCTTATTACTGTGTTGTACGACTGGTCGTGGGTCGAGCAAAGCAGTGCAAATACATTTTGACAAGCCTATTTGCAATATAATATAACAAAAAAGATAAATATACAATATAAAAATATTCATATTAAATTATTTTGTTGATTTAATTTTTTTTTTTTTGGTGTGCCTCACCATTATTGGTCTATTTACAATTAACTATATTGCACATTATGTATTGAATAATCAATCACTTTGTTATTATTTGTTCAAATGATTGTTTGAAGTAATTGTACTGTGTTCGTTTTAAAAGAAAACCTGTAAAATTACAGGATTTCAGTTTCTTTCCCTCTTGGATGGTGAGATTTTGAATAATTCAACCTTCAAAGTGTATTTGGAACGAGCCGAAGCCGAATAAGCAAATGTGATCTGTGTTGATGATTAATAATTGATTTTTTAATATAATAAATATACTTTAAAATATTTGGGTTTGTCTATTGTTAGTGTTAAGGACAACTGATTATTGAAAAGATTACTTAAGCCAATTTTATTTGTGAAAAAAATTTTTGTTTAAATTAATTGCATTGAGTTTTTATTGAAAGGAAATCTGTAAAATTACAGGGTGTCCGATTTTTCCCGCCTTCCAGGGTGGTGAGATTTTGAATAATTTATACGTCAAAGCAAAATTGTATGAGGATGAGGAGCAAGTCAAAGACCAATGGTAAACTGAATAATCGTACCTATCTATGTAAGATACTGATGAATAACTGATTTTTTTAAATAAACATATTTTTATAATACTTGTGTCAGTTTTTAACCTGACTTGGTAACAAATGTTAAGGAGAACTGATTATTGACTAACGACTTTATACAAATTAATATAAATAAAATGTATGCAAAATAAGCGGCCATGTTGTATTGAGCCAAATTGACTTATTTCCCATTTATAAATAAATATATATTTTTATGTATGTATCGATTTTTCAATTTATTATACATTTTTAGTAATTGTATAACTATTAATTATTTTGACAGGGGTTTTGTTGCAGTAATAATATATATCTGTGTGTGTGATGAGTAATATTTTATTTTTTAGTGTTAATAATTATAGTTTTAAAACATTTGGGCATATCTGTCGCTATTTTGGGAACAAAATGTCATGTTAAATTGATTGTTGAAAAGATGACAATCACTTACAATCAGTTTACATATGAAGCACAATAAATAAGTGGTGTACTGTAAGACTGAGCCAAATTTACTTAAGTACCATTTATACATAAATATGTATATATATATGAATCGAGTTTTCATCTAATTATAAATTTTTGTTAATTGGATAATTATTATTTAATTTGACAGGGCTTTGTTGCAATAAATATATGTATATTTTTTGGAATCGTTTGTTAAACATGTTGCCTAAAAAATCTTATTAAGTTACAGGACAGTGAGATTTTGGAAATGAACTTGTGTGAGGATGAAGAGCTAGTCAACCGAATCGATAAATAGAAGTGTTATGTATCCACATGTGTGATAGTTCATAATTGATTTTTTTAAATGTTAATCAATATATTTATAGAATATTTGGTCACGTCTTCACCTCTTTTCTGAATAGATGACTTTACACAAATTTGTTTGTACAAAAATTTATGTAAAATAAATAAGTGGCCATATTGTAGTGACCCAAATTAACTTATATAAGTACCATTTCAAAATAAATTTATTTTATGTACATGAATGTATAAATTTTTATTAATTGTATAATTGTTAATTAATTTGACAGAGGTTTTAATATATATGGTTTTGTGTGTGTGCATGGTATTGCAATAAATGTTAAGAAAAACTGATCAATCAATCAAAATATTTTAGGCAACTGTATTGGGTTCCTTTTTTTTTTTTTTCAAAACCTGCTAAATTAAAGGAATTTTTACAACCCCGGTTGGTGAAATTTTGAAAAATTCAACCGTCGAAGCGTACTTGTGTGAGAATGAGGAGCGACTCGGAGTCCATCGGCGAACCGAGGTCAATAATCAAATGACGGGCTTTCATTTCCAGCCTCGCCGTATATCCGTCCATCATTCCAGGGGATAAAGGAAGTAAAACAAGAAAAAAACTGGAAATTCCAGGGAGAAAAGGAAAAAATGCGGTTACTGGATGTAAAACAGAGATGTTTTCGGATTGCGGCCGGACGCCGGGCTCTTTCTATTTGTCGGCGACAGCTGATTTGTAATTTAGTCACGGCCGAGCGTGGCGCCTCCGGCGGGCTCGGACGGTACCAAACCTCGGGATCATCTGTGCTCTCTCGTAGGCGACTATCAACTCAACTTACAACTATGTATTTTCTCGTATTTCTTTTAAACAGGATTTCAACGCAAAATTCTTGATGACGCTGAAGTGATCGACGTAAAGGCCGGAGTTTCATTCTTCCCAGACTCTCTCCGCCCAGAAAACAAGGTAGAAAAAGATTGTGAGACGTGAACGTTGACCACCTCCGCCCCGAGAGAGGTTTTTATTTAGTGGGTGTTGTATGCCTGTGTGCTCTCCTGTTAAAGTTAGATAATTCAAAATGGCTGCTCGAAAGAAAGATGTTTATGTTGCGATTAAATAATCTCAAGTCGGCCCTTTCTAACGTTAGAACGTCCTTTTTGCAGAAATGGAACTCAGAGTCGGCAATAAATACAGACTGGGACGTAAAATCGGTAGCGGATCCTTCGGCGACATTTATCTAGGTGAGCTACCGACATGGCACCATGGAATTCTCTCCTATTCCCGTTTCCTTATCCGCTCTACACCTTCACCGATTTTCCAATTTTCCCGGCCCGCCCGAACTATAGAGCGATTAATCGAGATCGTATTTCTTTCCAGGAACGAATATTTCAACAAGCGAAGAAGTAGCAATTAAACTAGAATGTATCAAAACAAGACACCCTCAGCTTCACATAGAATCCAAATTCTACAAAATGATGCAGGGAGCGGGTGAGTACTGCAATTTTACGATAATGTTTTCGTGTTGTACTTTCGACCGGGACAGCCGCGGACGACGGGACGGATGTGGATAAAAAAGGGCCCGTTCGCCCCCTTCTAACGAGGCCCGTTGAAAAAACAGAAAAAACAAAACTGCCTTTTTTTTCCTCTCAATTATATCGAAAATCCCCTGGTTAATCTACTTATCGACCTTATTGAGAATATAGAACAATTTGCTTTTGACGTTTTTGCGTGCTAAAAATAGTATATTAGATAAAAGGACCAACATTGAAAACAAAATCTCTTTCCTCCTTCAAAGCCTTAATTCGTTTATTCAGTTACTTATTACATTTACTAAAAACAAAATTCAAATAAAATTTATCCTCAATTTGTTTAGGCGTCTTATTGAACAACATTGAGACATACAAAAAGCCCCCAAAAATATTGTGTAATAAGTTCAAAGTGTACTTGTGTAATAGAAGAAGAAGGAAAAAAAAATTCTGGGACAAGAGTGTTCCCTTGGTATAATACAATAGTCAAAAATTATTAACATTTTGTCACAAAAATAGACATTGTTGCGCTGATCAACATAATAAACAGACTTACATAAAACAAAACCCAAAGGAGTTAAAACTGAAATGAGTTACTCAGAAAAAATCATAATTACTGAGTAATGTGTGGTGATTAGTAATTAATATAAAAAAATATATTTTGCATTGTATACATTCACTTTTCCACATCCAAAATGTAATTGTTATATGTAAACAATGTTTGTAAATCCCAGGCCCTGAAGATGATCTCAATAAAGATCGAAACGTTGGTACGTTAAAGAAAATGTTTTTCTGAAACCTACATCACACCAGACCACATCTCACGATTTCTAAATAAATTACTGAGTAAATTTAAACTATAATTAAATATTGCGTTGGTACCAAATTAATGCTGGTTCTTTTATACAAAATGTTTTAGTTTATCTTGAATTTTATAAGAGTGAGGATATTGAAATTAAATATGTCCAAACTAGAGTTTTGTCAAATTTATTTGTACGAATTTAAACCTGGGTGATGTCCGGTGCAAACTGTGTGTAACACCATTACAGTTTGGCAGGTGGGAAGCATTAGCGATTGTGCAGTGCAGGGATGGCTTCAGTGGAGAAGGTCCGAAGTATTTGTGTGTCGCATCTATTGGTACGTTTCAGTTGTTTTCTAAAGTCCAGTACATTAGGCAAAACGAACTTAAGGGATGGTCTTGGAGATTTCGATCTTGAAGACAGGGAAGGTCGCGGTAGGCCTTCTGTTGCGGACGATGATCAACTCAAAACATTGATTGAATAAAAGTCACATTTGACAGCACGGAAAATTGTGGAAGAGCTTAGTATTGCTCAGTCAACTGTTGTTTGCAATCGGGACCAAATTGGTAAAATAAAGAAACTCGACAAGTGGGTACTGCATGAACTGACCAAAGCCCACAGAAATTGACACTTTGAAATTTGCACGTCTATTCTGTTGCACCACCAAAATTTCTGGATTGTATCATCACGTACGATAATGGCAGGCGTACAGGTCTGTGGTTGGACAAGGATAAAGCGCCAAAACACTTCCCAAAACCAAATCTGCACCCAAAAAAGGTTTAGTGGTGTATTGTTGGGGTTGTTGACTATTATTTCCTGAATTGAATGAATCTATCGCAGCCGAGAAATGTTGCCAAGAAATTGACAAAATGCATGGGAAACTGCAATGTCTATCCAGCATTGGAAAACCATAAGGGGCCAATTCTTCTTCACGGTAGTGCCAGGTCGCTTGTCGCAATGCTGACCTAAGGACTTGAGGACTTAAGATAAGAAACCTTGCTGCACCCTCTGCATTCACCCGTCCTACAGTCTTACACTTGTTTAGGTATTTGGTCACTTACTGATGGATACAATTTTTAGAGAACACGGTAAAACACAAAATCTCCTTTCAACACTTTATTGTGAGTCAGAACAGCGCTTATTACATGTTGGCAAAGATGTATAGTGTGATGGAATTTTGAATAAATTTTCTTTATTTTATAAAAAGTAAAAATAGTTTTGACTGCCTTTTCAAAACTTGCATTATTTTTGCACCAGCCCAATAATACAGACGATGTTCATCTTGTTTTGTAAAATACAAAAAAAGGGTAAACATTCAACAGGAGACAATCAATATAAAACAACTATTATGATTGACTTACATTATTAATTCAGTATTTTTTTATAGAATCAAATGAAAATATAGTACTAATATAGTATCAAACTAGACCGAGAGTACAAAAAATAATAAAATACATAAAAATAAAATAAAATTGCTACTAACAGGGAAGGCTTATTTATTTATTTGATAAAATGTGTACATTGGTCACACTGGCAAGTTGAAGTCTTTTTGTAATGCCTAGAAAGGCATTTAATCGGATTAACATTCTAGTATGTAATGTGAAGACAGGATCATTCCTGTCAATCTTTAATACTTTCTTATCTGTGCCATCACAAACGAAATACGACCCTTGAAAATAAAAGATATTTCAACCAACAATCACTATTACACACAAATAAGTAGAAGTACATACAGGTGAAACCCCTATACAAATAACACGCAAGAAATTTGTTTGGCCATTATTGAAGGGTGCTTATTCAGGAAGGTTTTTTTTTTATAAATCAAGATGAATGTACAAAATACATATTTTATACATTTCAATGAGGGGGACCTCAGTGCCTGATTAGTTAGGGCATCCAACTTGTATTTGCCACACCAGCAGTTCTTGGTTTGAAACCCAGCATAGTCCATGGATTTTTGATTGTGTGACGAAAGTATTGTACAGTGGTTTGACTCTTTACCTGTGACTCCCGACAGGTAGTTGGACGTTAAGTCCTCCTTTAATATTAAAAATTATTGCTTGAGACAGACAGGCAGATGAGAGAGAAAATATATTTCCGTAAATCTTATAAGTAAATGTATAGCATATATTTTACAATTAAAAAAATAAATTAATAAATGGAACAAAGCCTTTTTTCTAAATTTGTTCAACAAAGGCAATTCATTTTTCATATAACTTTTCTTTATAAAACATGCATGGCATATGGATAAAATGCAAACACCCAAAATATCTTTTTAAATTGTACAAGCCACATAAAGATGGGTAACAGAAAATACAGTTGAGACTTGAGAACCAAGGTGTTCCCATTTGGCCAAAAACTAGCCAAAAAAATGGGGTGGCTAATTCAACCACTCACTGATTGGTGTTAACTGAACTGTGTTAGAACAGAGTGAAGAAATTTCCAATCTTCCACTAAAGAGAAGCTTTCGAAGAAGAAACATTGTATAAAGAGTAAGTAGTTTTCAGAAAAAATCTGAAAAATGAACCATCAAATACCTGAACAATGATTATTCGGAAATCGTGAGATGCATCTGTGTGATGTAGGTTTCAGAAAAACATTTTCTTTATCGTGCCACGTTTCAATCTTTATTGAGATCATCTTCAGGGCCTGGGATTTTCAAACATTGTTTAAATTTAACAAATACATGTAGGGTGTGGAAAAAAGTGAATTTATACAATGCAAAATATATTTTTTATATTCATAGTATTTCTACTCACTCAATTACGCAGAAAACAAACACTTTGAATGAGTAGAAATACTTTGATTGAATATAAAAAATATATTTTGCATTGTATAAATTCACTTTTTTCCATATCCTACATGTATTTGTTAAATTTAAACAATGTTTATCCCCAAAATCCCAGGCCCTGAAGATAATCTCAATAAAGATTGAAACATTGGCACGATAAAGAAAATGTTTTTCTGAAACCTACATCACACCAGACCGCATCTTACGATTTCTGAATAATCATTGACTAACGGTCACTAATCACCACATTTATACCTGGACAATTTATTCCTCCAGGAATGATCATAGCATACATTTTTATATGGACATTCGATATATTTTTTTACATCCGTTCTAGAAGGGTGAATTACTCTGATGGTGACTAACTGCTATGGAGAGGGGTTTAAAATGCATAGAAATGCTATTTTTTTTTTTTGCCATGGAATGCTAAAATTGTCCAATACGAGATATAAACTTAGTTGATTATTAAAATAATGTAGGAATCAATCGAGAAGTTTGTAATGTGGGGGATTAAGTCATTGTAGCTCAAATACTAGAGCATCATACTAGCTATCCAAAGATCATCGGTTCCAAATCCTATGTCAAATTTTTCATTTAAAAAGTTTTGTGTATAATAAATTAAATTCTGTGGATAGATTGCAAGCCTTGGCACATCAGCATTTTGTTCTTCTGTGTTCCTTGTATTCAGACTTCCTTGTTATTTTTCTAGGGAAAATACTTAACAGTTGTTTTCTTGGTTGGAGATAATGTAGTTTATAGAAAGGATGATGGTAGACCCCTAATATGTGCATGTGCTTTTTCAGATGACACAGCCATTAAAAGTAACTTAGTGTATAAGTGTTAAATTTTGATAATGTGGACAGTGCATCTATGGCATGAAAGAACACAGATAAGAAAGAGAAGACAGAATCATGTCTGACTGAAACATGCAATGAGTACAAACCGACCATGATGATAAAATTGTAGAATACAAAGTGATTATGGTTTTTATGTTTACTAGTATATGTTTCATACTTTTTACTTCTTTAAAACATTTTATTTTTTGGTTTATGTAAAAAGCGTTTCTGTGTTTTTTGCTTAAATAAAAAAGTAAATACTTATTAAAGTAATATAAATAAACATAAAGTAATACTTATTATAAAAAAGTACTTATTTAAATTTTTTTTGGATTACCCATATTATATTTTAAAAGATATGTCCATCTTGCATCTATAATTTATGTTTGTATACGTTTTTGTGTAATTTCTAAGTAATATTTAAAAAGAAAAAAAGAGACGTTTACTTGCCAAGTATAATTTTTTATATTTTTTATTGGTACAAACTTTAATTCAATGTTTGATTTATATTTATGTACGACCCTGGGCCAAGTTTTCAAACAACTTTATATTTCGGAAAAGTTAATTACAATTAATGATTTTTTAAACATTTTTTCCTAGGTCATAACTTGCTGAGTTTGCTTTTAGATCCGCCTTCTACACAAAGGCCTAAAAAATATTAAAAAAATAAATTCATAGATAATTTATTTATTTTCTGTTTATATATATATATATATATATATTTTTTTATTATACATATCACTTCTTATTGTTATCTCAATTTTCCCGGTTTATGTCATAATCATGTTTGTAATAATTTACAAACTAGTCACAATTAAAAAAAAATCAAAAACTGTTTTTAATGTAAATTAAATTTTATAATTTATTAAGAAGTGGTGGTTTGATGAACATTTTATTTTATTTTTGTAATAACTATTTGAATTATAAAAATAGATGTCATCTGTAATTGTTAGGGTACTTTCTGGATACTCTCAGTATTTTTGAATATTATGCGAACGGGATACTTATATCTAGTTATCTAATTAATTTTTTTTTACAGTTGGGATCCCAACAATAAAGTGGTGCGGATCGGAAGGTGACTACAATGTAATGGTCATGGAATTATTAGGTCCTTCTTTAGAAGATTTGTTTAATTTTTGTTCAAGAAGGTTTACTCTAAAGACTGTCTTATTATTAGCCGATCAATTGGTGAGTGGTATATCCGTGTTGTGACAGTGGAAACTCATGAATAAAACATTTAACCCTTCATCCTTTTCAGATAAATCGAATAGACTATATTCACAGTCGCAATTTCATCCATAGAGACATCAAGCCTGATAACTTTTTGATGGGATTAGGGAAAAAGGGGAATTTGGTGTACATCATAGACTTCGGTCTGGCGAAAAAGTACCGTGACGGCCGGACCCATCAACACATCTCTTACAAAGAGAACAAAAATCTCACGGGAACTGCTAGATATGCTTCCATTAACACACATTTAGGAATTGAACAAAGCAGACGAGACGATTTAGAATCTTTAGGCTATGTATTAATGTATTTTAATAGAGGTTCATTACCTTGGCAAGGATTAAAAGGTGCGACTAAACGACAAAAATATGAAAGAATTAGTGAAAAGAAAATGTCTTCTCCCATAGACGAACTCTGTAAAGGTTACCCAGGTAGGTAAAAAAAATTTTAAAAAAATTAAGTTGGCAGTTGAAGTTATTTTTAATGTAATCTTATTTTTAAAGCTGAGTTTGCAATGTACCTAGGCTACTGTAGATCTCTTAGGTTTGAAGAAAGACCTGATTATTCGTTCCTTCGCCAATTATTTCAAACTCTATTCCAAAGAGAACTATTTACTTATGATTATGTCTTCGACTGGAACATGCTCAAATTCGTAAGTTGAAAATTTTCAATTTTTTTAATTTTAATTATCTTTTTTTATGTTGATTTATTTGTCAATTTCAGGGAGGGAGCCGAGCTGGAGCTGGGGAAGAAGCAAGAGGAGCTACCGGCGGCGGTGCAGTCGGAGCTGGAGCAGGTGGGCCTGGTGCAAGGATTACAGTTAGGATAGGTCAAGGTGAAAGAGCAACGAATGGTGCCCATAGAAGGGCACGCCCAGGCATTGCCCTTCTTCCCAACAGTAGCCCAACTACTGGTAATTTCTATTCGACATACTATTAAGTCATGAGCAATGTTTCTGTTAACAGCATGGGCACTGGAGACCTATAAAATTTAGAAGAATAACTCCTCTTCAAATTATCTTTTTGAAAATGACAGATTTTTTATTTTATTTTAAGAAGATAATTTTGTACATATTTAAATTTTGGCTGCAAGCAGTGTTTGATTGATGATTGACTTAATTAAAATAATAAAAATTACTCTTCATTTTATGCCTTTGTAACAAATGTTTCTCAAGATTTATTATTTAAGACTTATTAGACCAGAGATTTTGGGAAATACAATAGAAAACAACAAAACTTAAAAAAAAAGAAAAAAAAACGCCAGTTAAATTACTTTTACATGAACATACATATGCTAATATCGTAATTAAGGTTGGTAACTTTTGAATTTTATATTCTAAAACTATCAAATCAAACTGACAAATTGCCTCACATAAAAATATTTACTAAGGCTTCATCATTGCTATTGTGAATCATATGTTAGATGTTTTATTTTTATTTTTTTTGCTTTTTGTTTGTTTTTCTTTAATAATGCCTAATCGTTTTTGTAGCGGTTTTCAAGAAACATAAAAGGTGGATCTTGACAAAACTAAAAAAATGTCGGAATTTACTCAAAAGGTCTCGCAAGTATGGTAAAAAGATAAGAAGGTCGACGACATCTGTTTACAAGTTGATTTAAATTGCGCTTTGTTAAAGGGAGGAAAAAAAGAGAAATAAATTGTTAGTTTGTGTTAATGATATTATATATATATGCATATTTCCACTGTAAATTCATAGCATACAATAGACAAAAAAAAAGATACATATAGTAAAACCATTAATAAACAATAAGAAATATGCAACTATTTAAACAAATATATAATTATATATATACAATATTTCTTTTTTTTATAGTTTAAATTTTAGCTAATCATTTAAACACATGAGAGTAAAAAATAAAATTTTTAGGCTTAATATTCAATGTATAAAATGATTAATGGCATAATTTTTAAATTGAAATATTATTATAAAAAGATACACTTTTTAACGTTCATTCAGTATAAAGCATAAATTCTAATTTGTTGGCTTATCAATTTTTGAAATATTTTGATTCTTCTTAATGGCAAAGACAATTTTTTTTTTCCTATAGAAAGGCAGTACATATTGATATTTGGTCTAAATTGGTCTTGTCTAATTGTCTTGAATGAATTCGTACAGATTATTTTTCGATTCCTGTGAAAATCGGATGTACTTTTGCCAAATATTTACGTCTTATCTAAACTCAGTTATAAGCTGTTAATTTCTTGAATTTCCGATAAATTCCTAATTTTAATTAAAAATAGATTTGTACTTAGTAGCTGAAACTAGAAAAATTTCTAAGGAAAGAAAAAGAATTGAGTATAATTTTTTTACAGTTTTGGTAAGCACAAGATATAAATATAGCTATAAAAATAAATTTTTTAAAAGATAATGAAAATGTATGATTAACTATTTATAAATATGAAACTAGCTTTACTAAAACAACCTACAGTAAATTACTTCATTAATATCTAAATTTAGTTGGTGCTGTTTTGTTTTTTTCTTCAATGTACTTTACAGACGAACAGACGATCAGAGCTTCAATAAGAATAAATTGTTTTAAGTTGTAATAGTTCACATAGAGTAATCCGGTTCAAAACAATAAAAATATTTAGAGCAATTTAAGTATGTACTTGTAAAAAAATTGCAATTTTAAAATTTGAAGTAACAATGATAAATATACGAACTATAAGTGTGTTGCATACATTCAAAAATACACACCATTTAATTTCTGTTCCCCCATATTTATTTTTATTTTTGTGAAAAAATCCCCGAGACACATAAAATTATTTTTTTGGCTAGTTTTTCATGAGTGAAAAAGGTTTGATCTAACTCTTCATGAAAAGAGGTTATGAATAGAAACTTATTTTACAACTTATAACTTAACTAAACTTTATAATAAGATACTCATCAACATACATTTTTGATGCTGAATTAATGATGTAAACAGTTAATTAAGGCTTTTAGTTAAAATAAAAAAGTCAGTGTCACAAGCGAGATTCGAACCCACGATCTTCAGCTAAATACGCTGCTGCTCTACCATTGAGCTATCGTGACTTTGATCCTCTCGGGCACTAACTTCCCACCTCAACCCCACCTTTCGAATTTTCCTTCCTTTTTCCCATTTTTTCAATGTCATGTAATCTATTTGATTCTCGGCGACAAATGAAATGGCCACGGAGAGCTTTAGTGAAGATATACTTCATTGTAACTTATTAAATTCACGAAGTTTCGTGGTCCGCTTGACCAATTAATATCTTTCAATTAATTAATTTATATATACCCCGTCAAGCAATTGCAATATGTATACTCAAAACTATATTTAAATTAATTAAGATATTGGTTGGGATAAAAAGTGAGTGTCACGAGCAGGATTCGAACCCACAACCTTCGGCTAGATACGCCGCTGCTCTACCACTTGAGCTAACGTGACCTCGATCCACTCGGACACTAACTTCCCGTCTCAACCCCACCTTTTAAATTTTCCCTCCTTTTTGCCATTTTTCAAATGCCGTGTAATCTATTTGATTCTCGGCGACAAATCCGAGTGGAATCGAGGTCACGATAGCTCAAATGGTAGAGTAGCGGCGTATCTAGCCGAAGATCGTGGGTTCAAATCCCGCTCGTAACACTGACTTTTTTATCTCAACTAAAAACCTTAATTAATTGAAAGAATTAATTGGTCAAGCAGACCACGAAACCTAGTGGATGTAAACAGTTTTTAATTTGTGGCAACTGGTCTCAAGTTATCAAAATGCTTTGTCCAATAAACACAGTTTTTCGGATGAACGAAATCTTTTCAAATTTCTTCAACCAATCAATGATTGATAATTAATAGAAAATTACTTGCTACAGAAAGAAAAATATCGGGACAATTTCCTCATGTAATGATGACGAACAGGATGATCTGAATGTAGCTTGTTAAAGCCTGGTGCAAATTTCAATGCACTTTTTCCAACTGAAAAATCATCTCCAGTTTTTCTTGTTTAAACTGAGACATTTTTATGATTGACTACAATCTGTGGAAAGTCAAAGAACATAACTAACCTTTAGACTGAAGGATTTTAATATAAGTGTTAACCATGTATTAAAGCAAAAAATTTTTTTTGATATTCAAAAGCCTCAAAGTCAATCAATTTTTATTTATGTTTTGTTTGTGCAAACATTAATTTCCTTATGTTTTTTGCAAATAACTTAAGAAGGGTTGCTCTAAATTAAAAACCGTTTGCACATTGAATTCAGCATCAAAACATCAGTTAAAACAACAGTTACATTGATGGGTACCTTACTATTTGACATAGACAAGTTCCTATCAGTATCCTGAAGAGTTAGACCAAAACTTTTTGTTTCAAAAGAAACTAGACAAAAAATAAAAGTTAATGTATGTTGGGATTTTTCGCAAAAATGTACAAAAAAATATTGGGGGGTGGGGCAGAAGTTAAACTCACCCTGTACATGCATAAACACAGATCACATTTAAGTTTAATTTACATTTGATGTTGACTATTAGATGCAATTTTAATGTAACAAAAAATTAATGAAGCTTAAATTTAGTCTGATTTTTTTATTATGATTATTGCAGAAATTAGCAGGTAGATTTACACTGTCATATAAAAAAATGTTCTTTTTTAAGTTATTTCCTATAGGACGTATTCCTGTATTTTAAGTTTTATAAAAAAAAAAAATATTAATTTTAATGAGGGGCCCAAAGTTATGACAGTCCTCTTAATGATTGCAATTTGATTTAAAATTCAGATGGCACAACTTACTGGCAGTTTTGCCAGTTGATATTTTATTTTCCAGCTAATAACTATATAATAATCACGGTGGAAATCATAATGGAGGTTCTAACTCATTGTTGTTGCAAATGGGAATTTTTAGTCTCAGCACGAGGCCGAGCGATAACCGGTGAAGGAGGACAGGAGAGGAGAGTTTCGATGCGACTTCACAGAGGTGTCCTCCCCAACTCCTCGACTCTAGACCTGAGTGTACAAAGGATGAACACGATCCCCCCACCTGTGGAAAAGTACGTCCTTTCTCATTTGAGACAAAAGGGAGAGAGAGAAAAACAATTTTTTGTTAAAATACATTTCGAGAGAAAAAATTGCATATTTCATCCGTTCTAGTATTTTTTACATTTTAATCATTTGTGCGAATTGACAATTGAAAATTTGTATATTATTGAGCTATTTTTTTTTTTTTTTTTTTTTTTTTTTTTAACTAGCATTAAGGTACATTGTTATTTTTGCTTGTTTTACTTACTAATTTGCATGTTTCTAACATTTTTTAAAAATTGGCTTGCTTATTAATACCTTTCATAATTTTTATTTTTATAATAGTACTTTCAAATTTTACAAAATAATTCATGTATCATTCCGAATTAATCATATCTTTTATTTCCAATTTAACTTCTAACATACTAACAATACTTTTGCGTGCGTGCGTGTATGTGTTTTTTAATATTAAAACACCCTTTATTTTTGATATTTATTTTGTTTTGTTAATGTTGTGTATTGTCTGTTTGTTATGCTTTCTCATCTTGTTAATCTATGTACGTAAAAATGTCTGACAACTAGATAGAAGTGTCCTGATTAGAAAAGTGAGGTGGTTTATTGTTTAGTTTATTTAAAAAAAAAAAAAAAAACTCAACTTACAGTACTATGAAACGTTAAAAACTAAAATCAATAGTATTGAAACGAAAATTTGTTGTAAGCCGGCTTCCAATAATTATGATGATTTGGTATCTTTGATCACATATGTTCTTTGTACCTGCACACTATCCACATAAAACCAACAGAAGTCCTCAACAACAACTGGACAAGTTTAAAAATACTCTATGGCAAAACTTGACATATTTGAAACTTAGCAATTTACAAACACAATGCATTTAACACAAAGAAATGCACGAATACACAATGTAACAACTCAGAGTTTTGACATGGTGACTCATTACTGAAAGGGTCCCCGGTCCAAATCATAGCGGACCTGAATTCGAACCGAGTACTTAGAAATGAAAAAAAAGACAACATAATTTACTCCTTTCAAAACACTATACATCTTACAAATAAAAAAATAAAACGCCTGATCAAAATAATTGACTAGACTATCAAAAAACCTAAACTTAATCCCTCAAAGATGCTGTAAATAGAGATTATCTCTGACACTTCTTTTACCTTTCATGAACTTATAAAATGGGACACAACGAACGAAAACCCCTCATAGTCACACATGAAACGGGAAAATTCGTAAACACGTTTGACGGGTCAAAATAGTGAGTGAAGGTAGGAAGGGATGATTGATGATGACCAAAATGCAGGTACATCACTTTACAGACCTCAGACGTTAGATTTCTTCTTGTGGTCCGCATGGTGATAAACTTTTAAGTTTATCTTTGCCTATCATCTTGGTCTGCCTATCCTTGCTGGCTTTGTCTATTAGATGCGTTTTGGCATTTCGCCATCTTCAGTATGTCTGCAATGTTAAGCCACGTCTATTTTATAGCATACATAAGACTATTTATGGAAAATAATAGGAAATCAGACTGTGCGACATGTCACAGAAAACCATCACAGATAACACATTATAGACAAGCATGAAACCACAAGAAAAGGTTGAAAAATGAACATAACTCAAAAATTTCAAAATATATAAACATAACATACTTAACACTAAAAAAGTCATAAACACACAAATTAATAGCAGATCACATAGATCAATTGGTGGCAGTCTGACTTAATCCACCAAAGACATTGACTCATGATTGTATAAAAAAATTATAAAAGGAGACTTAATAGAATCATCACTGAAGATGGTGAAATGACAACTCCTCTGACAAACTTACCCTACGAGCGTAAACAGACAATTATCAGTAAGGATCAAAACAAGCAAAGCCGGCAATTTCATGTGGTTGTTTTATTATTGTTTTTGTTTTATTATTTTACAATTTTTGTGTCGGAGGTGTGAAGAGATGAGAAAGTACAAAGGGCTTGGTCTTTGTTGAAACACTTGTCAAAATATAATTTAATACAAAACTTCACATTTGTTAATTAAAATAAAAACTCACTTCTGGGATTTTGTTTTTTCTTTTTTAGCTCAGTGTCAGGAGGGGCAATGGCACCCCCATCCTTGAGTCCGCCAGGCGGCGTGCGGCGGGGATCTGTGAGTAAGACGGACACGGCGAGAAAGAAATGAAGGCACGACCCCCCCACAAATCAATGAGAGAGACCAGCTCGCAAGTAAATACGCTCAGTCCAAATCGCGATAAGAGGAGTTCCAGGTGAAATGCAAATTGTAACGGTTTCGCTGCTCAATAATAAGTAACATTTGTAGTATGTTCAGAAGCCCCAGAGTAATTAACATTTTGGAAAGTTAAGTCCAGAATTTCATCTAATTTTTTTTCTATTTTGGATAGTACATTTTTTAAAAACATAATTTCAATTTTTATTTCTGGTAGAAAGTAATTTTGAAATTATAGTAAAAAAACAAGTGAAACACAAGCAAGTCTTGATGAAATCTGGATGTAATGAGGTAAAAAATATATATTTCATGATTCAAACAAAAAAAAAGAAAAAAAAAGAAAAACAAACAAACTTCAAAATATTGATTAGTAATCCTGTATGCAAAATATAAAACCTATATTGTTTTTACTGGCAAGCTGTCATTAAATTAATTACAATTATTTTTTAATTTTGTATATTCTTGTTTTGAAGGGCATTATTGATGCAAAAAAGTAAACGCTTCTATTCTTTTTTCCAATTTAAATATTTGAATATATTCAAATGTCAAACAGATCGTTATTTTTATCATATAAATTTCATGAAGAAATAACAAAATTTAATTAATATTTAGAATGATATTTTAATTGTTAGCAACGCTAACATTAATTTTCCGTTATTATTTTTATATGTTGATTAAAGTTAATAGGAGTTTGTATTACATTGTTCCTTTTACAAGTTTGTTTTTTATTTAAGGAAAATGTAACGATCACTTTAATTTGTCATTTGAGGGTTGCTGTTAGGCTTTACTAACTGATCCTTGTGATTGATTTTTATACTTTTTGTAAATATGAATCCTGACCTCATTTTTTGTTGTTAAATTTTATACATTGCATTTTATATATATATATANTATATATATATAAAATGTTCAACTGATAGTACTGGTGTAAATAAGTTATAATGTGATCATATTATTAATAGGTTTAGGGTTCTATAAGGTGGAATTGGCATTTTTTTAATTTATTTTTTTTATTTGTCAATTTGTATTCTAAAAGTAGGCCTAAATTTTTTGCTTAATAACTTAATTTTTTTGTAATATAACATTTTTGTTATTGGATGAAATTGAATAAAAATCTAAAATTAAAATTTGCCTCTTCAAAGATTTACGTATAAATGTACTTTACAACCTGAAAAGTTTAAACGAATGAAAAGTTGTAATTTTTCATTGCACTTTGGATTAAATTAATTGCATATTTTCAATGTTCCGACAAAGTCACCTCAATTTAAAAAACAAAACAAAAAACATGGGGACTTTTGTAGTAGTACTGGCTCAGTAGTCGCATAACGGTTGTGTTATTGAGAATCAGAGTGTATGTGAGTGTGTTTTATCGGGTATTAAATTGATTGGAAAAGTTGTATGCGGTGTACTGGACTTTGCAAAATTTCCCACTCTCGGTACCATGGAAATAGTGTGGGGGGAGCCATCTTAAGCCGCTGTTTATTATATAATTGATGTATTTATACCGAACTTTTAATCCGGTGTGTTTTTTGTTTAAGAAACACATTTTTTCAACGAACCAATTTTCAATGTACATATTATTGTGTAACATATATTATTTAAACTGTGTCAAATGGATGTATTTGATTTTTTCATACTTTTAAAGTAAGTGTGTTTATATAATTATTATACATACATATTTACACTTAAATTGTAAAAATGTTTCAATTTATTCGCAACCATCCTTTCTCTTGAAGGATGCATTTTTTTCTCAAGCGAATGTTTCTGTATCAGTTTATGTGAGGGCGATTTGAGTTTTTTTCCTGAATAAAGCAGTAGGGGAAAAAGGATAACAGTAGTTATTAATATGAAACTGGATGTATGTGACATAAATATGATACTTGGAAAAAAAAAACTTTTGTAAGGGTGTCAGTTTAGGCCTTTGTAATGATTTTTTAAATATATCCATTATAGGAAAAAATTATTAACTTTTGAAACAACAATTATCAGGGTATCATTTATTTAAAAAAATCAATTTATATTGCACTTTACACTTTAATGTTCACTTTTTGGCAATAGTAGCACTGTCATTGTCCAGTATGTTTTAAAATCAATTCAAAACAATAAAAATAATTAAATCTTTTTGTATCTTTTGAGTTAAACTTATCTGGAAACAAATGTAGTTATTTTATTTGACATTGGAGCCCAATTTTAAATTTCTAATATTGATTATACTTATTTAGCGAAGTCAAAAAGACAATTTTTTTAATATTACTGAGAAAGAAAAAAATAAAAATGATTTAAAATACGCATAAGGGGTTATTGTACGAGCTATGACAATTTACATAGCTCGCTACATAATTTCATAATTTTCGCATAACAATTGAAATCCTCATCGTGCAATTTTTCCTTATTTTTCAATACAAGAGTGAAGTCAGCTTGATAATTATTCTACGTTACAAATATTGCATTGCCAAGTTAAAAAGAAAAACTGTACGTTAGCTCAAACTGGTTGATATCTCTGATTATTAACTTTTAAAAAATTTTATTATACTTAAACATACTTTAAAAAAAACGTATAACTAGTTCCTTTTTTAATCATAAGGTTTTTTCTTTAATATATTATTGTTTTGAAAAGTCATTTAATGTAAATTGACCTTTTTTTTTAAATTGGTACCTTTATAAATAATTTTCATTTCAATAAATATATCATTGATTCAGTTAATTCCATGAAATTTTTGCCAAAAAGGGACTTTTTTAAAATAAATTTAGCATTTAAAAAAATACTATCTTTTACTGATGCCCTGATTTAAATTTCCAATTAAAGACTGAACATGTGACGTGTATAATTCTAAAACCGACTTGTAATGGTTAGCCTTAATTAAGTTTATTCAAGAGATTTAACTACGTAATAAGCTCATTAGGAGAGATGAAAATTTAGAATGATTATAGGAGTTAGTTTCACCTAGTAAAAGATACGAATATGAACATCCTTTCTAATTTTCATTTTTGTTTAATGGCAAATCGTTTCAACTGTACATTTTTGTTCCTATGTCCCCCCCCCCCCGACTATGTAAATAACTTTTTATATACGCGGTATCTTTTTGTCTTTTTTTAATTTTCAATGTTACTGCCATTATGTTTACAATATTACGATGTATTCGAATAAATTGAAACACTTTTTAAATCGACTAAGAGTGTGTATGCATAAATTTTATGTTATGCATTATATAAATAAACATACATATACATATACAACTATTTCATAAGTATATATATATATATTGTTCAAGGCTTTAGCAGCCAATATTTCATCTGTTGTTTATATTGCCTTAAAAATATAGATTTGTAACGTTTTACCAACATTGATAAAAGAAATAATAATAATGAATAATATTTTGGACTTATATCGGAGTACTGAAATATTTAAAGAATATGGACATTTACATTTAGCAATGAAGACCATGTAAAAAATTATGAATAGTTATACTATGTAATCAATTATTTAAATGATCTTAGTTTTTACAAATTAGTTTACTAAAAAAAGACTAATGCTTGGTTTTCAGCTATACATACGTAGCGGGAAAATACCTTATATCAAATGCATAGTAAAAGCACTGAGTTCGCAAACTTTTAAGTTCTACAACGTTTATAAGTAATTATTTTTTGTATATTCAGAGAATTATTTAAATAAAAAGGTACATAATTAAGCTGCGACTGAAGCTAAGTGTTCAACTATGGTCTTCTGATTGCTGGTTTGAAATTCAAAAATACAAAAAAAAAATATATATAAAAAAACTTAAAAACTTGTCCTTCCTGTATTGTTCGTTATTAAGGTGCAATTTTAGCTTTGTAAGCGTTAGCTTGCAGTTGTTATATTCAAATAAAATAGATTTCATTATTGTCAAGGCCTTTCATGGCTTAAGTGTGGATTTACTCTTTTTAACTTTATATTTAAAGTTTTTTATATATAATACAAATTAAACAAAATATTTGGTTTAAAGAGGATCGAATTATTGAAAACACAGGCCTTAAAATTGCCTATAATAATGAAAAATGAAAATAGTTCTGTGTTAGCTACACTGCTAAGTGTTAATGGTATTTTTAAGTGTCGTATGAACCTAGTATATTTTCATGGTATCATTTTCCAGTAAATAAATTTATGTAATTTAATGAATTTGTACATTAGTTGTAAAAAAATTTAAAAAACATCAATTTGCAATGTAAAATTATTATTATTTTGTTTTAGTTTTGTTCTTTTTATATTTTATGATTGTTTGTTCGAATAGATACTTAAAATGTATGTTTTTATACACAATTTATTTTTAATTAGTATCTAATATAAACCGAAACATGTATAACTTTTTTTTTCTTACAGTTAATGGGAGGCATGTGCATTGTGCCTAAATTTAACGATCATTTTTGTAAAGACACTTAAAATGAAGATATACTACAAATTTAAAAAAAAAAAATTGTATTTAAAAAGAATCTTACTTTGCATTATTTTTAAAAAGACGATGTTTAATATTTTGAATAAACCAATTCACTCCCTTATAAACCATGGTTTCATTATCTTATTTTTATTTTGTTTTAACCTTCTATTCAAAGATTTTAAAACATTTTAAAATAATTTCCAGGATGAGGATGGCTTATTGTGGATCTGCAAACAACATACACGTGCATAGAATTGAGCCTCTTGTGGCAGGCTGCGATTACTCTCTGCTGTGTTTTGACAGTACGGGGTCTGAACGGCATCCATCTTCCTACAGAAGTAATTCTCTGTGGGGCTATCGACATCTGGTCATTTCAGCCCCCAACCTATAAAGTTTTTAAACCTAGACGTACATATTACTTTTTATTTACAAACCATTTAATCAAATATAGATGTGGAATACTCAATATTTCTCCATCACCCGTTTAGGAATTTTTTCCCCTTTAGCACTTCAACTTAATAGCATTGCGCTGATTTTTTTTTTTTTTTTTTTTTTTTTTTAATGGAAGAAGAAAGCATAATGCTATTGCAAGACAGTTGCTGTTGTCTCCATCTCCTTTAGACATATTCAAAATTGATCATCTGTTAATGTATTTTTTATAGCAATATTTTGCTGGAGCGTGTAAAAATATATCTGTTCGAGATTTAAAAAAACTCTTTTCTGTTGAGTAGGATTTCGTCTTTCAACCATTGGGGTGTTTTTGTGAGTAGTCTCTATGCTTGGTATACATTCCTAGGATATATTGTGTTGTGTTCATTAGATGCACAAGACTCCAGTTATATTTTTTAATGTGGCTATAATTTATGGATCCAAAAAATGGATTTGAACCGGTCTTGTTCTTAGGATCACTTTTAATAATAATTGCTGCTGCCAAATTCCCTCAGGACCTGGGCTTCTAGTATTATGCTATTTCTAGATCCCAAATTTGATAGGGTATTTAAGCAGTTCCAGACTAGTTTTTAGATGACCTAGCATGGAGAGTTTTTAGAGCAGTCTATCTGAGAGTGATACATTGCACCCTTGAGATGTTTGTTATTTATTTTAAGTGCACGTTTCTATGGCTGGTAATTTGATTTGAAAGACGGCAAAAACAAGCGTGTGGAGATATTTCCCCATCACCTTCTACACATATAATTAATGGGGTACAGTATTCCGCCATTGACTCTCCCACATTATACATTCATGCTAATAAATACATTCACTCTCAACGGTCACTAGGGGACACAAAAGTATCAGTCTTATATACAATTACACAACCCTGTTTTCTTCAAGAATTGGAATAGGGGATCCATTTACTCATTGCAGTACTCAAACACAATTCTCATATTGAGTGGCATTCCTATGCACTCTCTACATGGAGCCAAGGAATTGCATCATTCAATTAAGTGGGAGTGGTGGGACACATCGGACAAACTTTTTCTGCAAGCCGGACAAATAAGCAGGCTATGGCCTGAAAGTAAGTGTCCGTATGGTCCCTTAATTGGGTAAGGATGAACTATGAGTCATTTTCTCTGAGGGCCATCTATTGACAGTGCTCTTGATATGTGAGAGCTTCTCTGCCGATTAAGCTTTTTTTAGCTAAGAAAAAAATGATAGAAATTAAATGGTCTTAAGGTCAAATTTAATGAATCATTAAACTATGAAATTTTAAATATTTTCAGCTGAAAAATAATATGTACACACATCCATCGTCCTGCAGAAGATAGTAGAGGGGGGGCTATCGACAGTTGGGTTATTTCAGCCCCCAACCCCTGATGGCTTTAAACCTAGACATATACATATGTGCTCTCTATATGGTGACAAAGAATTGCACCCTTCAATTAGGTGAGACACATCGAACACTTTCTCTGCATGCTGGACAAAGTAAGTGTCCATGTGTCTACCTCGCATGGCCTATTCTTAGTCAGGTAAGGATGACCCCCTCTACTACAAGTCTTGCATCTTCAATGGTTTGTCTATGATTTTTTTCAAGTGTGACTTTAATATCACCACAGACCGCTGAAGATCATAAAATGCGACAGCTAAAACCAGTGAGAATAGGCAAATCAGATTGATCGGAATTGACCAAATCACACGTTCATTATCTAGACAAACTGTCTTAAAAATTATTTAGCCTGATTACATTCGAGTCTGCTTATAACTGGTTGCTTTGTCTGTCAGTCGGTTTGTGATGGTGTGATCTCTCTTCTGCAAGTCAGATCCTTCAAGGGCTGTCTATCGGTCAAATTTGATGAACTATTAAATTGAAAAATTTTAAATGTTTTCGGTTGAAAAATTAATGGCAATTAATTAATAACCATTAATGGCAATTTTTTCTTATTGTAATGCAAATTAAGTGGTGTTCAAGTTTGATATCAGTTACAATTAATTAATTTTTCATCTCAAACAAAAAAACCTTGATTAATTGTAATGTATTAATTGGTCAAGCGGACCACGAAATTAGTGAATTTGATATCAGTTTTTATTACGATTTTTTCATACCCTAAATAAATATTAAACAAATCGCCCCCTCCAAAATTTTCAAAATTTAATTTAAGATTTAAACATTTGACTAATAAGAAATATCTTTGTTTTTGTAAAGAAAGTTGTAAAACTTTTGTGGAAAAAAGTAAAAAAAAAAAGTGAAAATATTATTTTACTAACTATAAATTAGGTTGGCAACATTTTTTCCTCTGAACTTATCAATTTCAGGGTTTTCTGCTAGGTTTTGTCTCGGCCTCGGATAAGTTTAGATTTCGTCTGAAAACCGGAGGAATAACGGAAAAAAGGAAAAATGCGCTTTGGAGACTACCCAGCAGAATACAACCCGAAAGTTCATGGGCCGTACGATCCAGCCCGATACTACGGAAAGCGTAAGTCAAATTCAACAATTGGAGAATCCGTTTGTAAAATTTAATCAATTTGGGTTTTCTCGTTTCAGCCGATACACCATTTAGTCAGGTGAAATTGGGCGAACTGGCATCATGGGTTTCACGAAGAAACAAATCACCTTCGGCCATGATGGGTGCTTTTAGTCGAGGTATAAAAAAATAACCATTTCTTTGATTAATGCTAAGTTATAGGTTCACACGAACAAATATGTTAGGAACTGGAACCTAGGATAAATTAATTCGATTAAGATCGACCATGACAGCAATTTTTGTGAAATTTTTAGAGATTGTGCCAGTTGGTTTCTAGATGGTCCCATATAAATTTCATCCCAATCGTATACACAACTATGTATATCTCTTAAACCATGGCTCAGTCGGTGCCTTTGGTTGAGTAGTTACGATCGCCGACTTGGGCCTCGAAAGTTGTGGGTTCAATTCCAAACTCTATTATTTTTCCCCCCATTGGTTTCACTCTTCTCTCCTTCCTTTCTTTACCTCTATTTCTTTTCTTTTCTTCGGGTTTTGGTATTTACCCTTCCCAAAAATACCGTGGTGCTCAACGATTCCCTGCCTTTTTCCTTAACCCACCCCATTCTCCACTGAGCAACGGGACCAACAGTTGTCGGCTGAAGTTTCGACGGTAACAACCATTTGTTGAATTCTTAAGAAATGTTCTGGAATGGGTTGCTTTCTAAATGAATTTTATTCTAAATGGATTAACATATGGCTCTTGCAAAAAATATAATTTTTTCAAAATTAATTTATTTTATTGCTGTCTGTACAAAATATACATTGAGCAAATTGTATAGTTTTATACAAATCTGACAGATCTGTCAGACCAGGCAGTGGGGAGAGAAACCAACCAGTGCTGGAACTCTCTTTTATTTAATTGATGGTGACTTAGAAGGGAGCATTGAGGATAAAAAATATTAAAAAACTATACTGACCACCCACTTGTCTGACATGTGATGTGCCTCTTTTTCCTTTGTTTTGTGTCATTTTTGAATGTCCTTTATCCTATCTCCTTTAGAATAGAGCCCCTTTAAATATTGATTTATGGTCTTTGCGCTGATCTTCCTATATTTCGATTTGCCTATCTTTGCTGTTATTCTGGCACTTTTCAGCATCTCGCTATCTTCAGTGGTTGTATCTGTGTTATTAGATCACTTATGTAATTTAAAATTGTAGCAATCTTTTAAGGGCTTTTTTTTATCAAAGTATTATTTATCTTTCATTGGGGAATAGGAATTGGTGTTGTACAGACCGACCAGTGAATATAGTTACTCAATTAGTTAACAATAGCAGTTACTCTTGTTCTTACTAAATCGTAATATTACCAAAATAACATACAGACAGAGAAATCTGAGGTGGTAGGAAGCTGAAACAAATCTAATCAGAAATGTAACGATGAGGAGCTAGATTATTGACCTGCTGGAAACATGAAGTCTTTTCGGAGGATCTACGGAAGAGGTCAAACACAGAGAAAACTTCCTTTCGGTTTTCGCCGAGCTTTCGACAGTTTTTATACTGTCATCTTCAGAGCCTGTTTTATTATTTAATTGTTTCATGTTTTTAATCAATTTATGTTTCATGTTTTAATTGTTTTTTTTTTTTTAATATGATAATAAAACAGGCCCTGAAGATGACAGTATAAAAACTGTCGAAAGCTCGGCGAAAACCGAAAGGAAGTTTTCTCTGTGTTTGACCTCTTCCGTAGATCCTCCGAAAAGATTTCACTAATCAGAAATGTCCAAACTACAGGTTCATAACTGCAGATCTTTTTTTTTAACCCTTCACTTTTTTTCCATCAGATAATTAATCAATCTATTCCAAGCAATCTGTTATACATAAAATTGACTTACTTTAACCAAAAATTAGTTATATTCAAAATGATTTTTTTATGTAGAAATATTTATAAAGTAATAATCAGTACATTTATGAGCGAATATACATGGTGGTTTGCGTTAGTGTGAACATATGTTGAACAGGCACTGGGAATGACTATACACATGAATTTCGATTTGATATCTTTTAATATATTATTATTAGTTTTGATATGGTAATCATAAGATTTAAATTTTTATATTTTACATTTACAGCTTACTGGAGATGGCAGCACAAATACATTCAGCCGAAAAGGGCTGGCATGGCTGGATTAATGCATGTTGCATGTGGTTCAATGATAATATTCTACTATCTGAACTACGGTTCAATCAGTAAGTTTCTTGTGGTTACAAAACTAACTGATTTTGATAATTATTTATCATTATTTTTTTTTTCATTTGCAGAGGGAGAACGCAGAATGCGTTACCACTAAAATTACCAAGTATAATTAAAGAAACGAGCAGGCAATTTAGGAAAAAACCATCATTTTATTATAGTTTTGGGAAAGTGAATAAAATAAAGTTTAATTAAAACTCTCTTGTTTATTTAATTATAGAAATACAATAAGTTATCACGAGACAGTGTTTTTTCTTAAATGTTAAATTTGTCAATAAAAAGTATTCAGCCGGAACATCCTCTACAGCCACAGTGAATGCACTCTACTATTTTTCCCTTAGAAAAAAATACAAGGATACAATTATTTTCCTTTCTTTAACAAATGTCGGTGAAAGTACAACACAAACCTCTTCCAATTTAGCTTTGGGCACTCTGCATATACAACTGGTTCCGAAATTCGTGTCCCTGGTTTGAATGCACCTTAGACAGCAAAGATTTTCGTATCCTTGTTTCTTCCATTTGGCTATTAAATTTCTATCGGCGATGTTTTCGTTAAGGCAGTGGTCATACAATTCTGAAAAAAAAAATATATATATATTCTAGCATGTTTACTACTTTTAAGCGATTATACACACTCTTACCTTTACTAATCGCTTTTCTTCGGTAGAACAAGTCGTATATATATCGGGATTTTTGATGGTGAATTTTAAATATTGGCCATAATGATTCAACCTTTCTTTTCCCCTCGTGTGGCTCAGTTTCAGCTAAAATTACAAAGTCAAACATTCTAAGATTTTATTTGATCAACAAGAAACTTTTGAAAGAATAAAATCTAATAGTTTGGTAGCAACTGTCTTAACAGCTAGGAAACCCATTCTTGTGTAATAAAGGCCTCAGAACTTCTGAGAAGAGTTTCTGTACCTGGTTAAAAGGTTATGATTTACTGAATGATCTAGATCCAGAGCTTCCCCTAACTAGGGAGTCATTGGCGAACGTTAAGAAAAATTAATAATTAAAAAAATAAACGTAGAATGAATAAATAAAATTAAAATAACTACAACAGTAAGTACTGAAAATCAGTTTTTTTAGTTTTGCTCAGTAGGAGTCGTGTACTCTAGACATGCTTTAGCTACGAAACAAATGCCAGCTTCTTTTAAGAAAGTTTTGGATGGGTCTGTTCAAATGATTAATTATATGAAGTCGTGACCATTGAAGTCAAGACGTTTCACAATACTATGTGTTGATATGGGCAGCCTTCATCATTCCCTGCTTCATACACAAGTGAGGTGGATATCTCATGGGAAAGGGCTTTCAAAATAACAGGAATTACATTCTGAAGTCTTATCTCTGTTAATGGACCACAATGTCAAATTGGCCAAAGTTTTCAATTATGAGAAATGGCACTGCATACTACCGTATTTAGATATTTTCATTAAATTGAATAAAATGAGTCTTTCTTTGCAAGGGAAGAGTATCACATCTTTCAATGCCTATTAACAAACTTGCTCTTAATGTTTCCAAATGCTACACAATTACATTCTCTCATAAGAAACAACCTTTTATTTATCTCTATACTCTCCATGATGCTCTTTTAACGCGAGTTGAGGTCGTAAAGGATCTTGGTGTACTTTTTGATCAAAAGCTCAAATTTAAAGAACATATTTCTTCAATAAAAAATAGATCTATGAAGATGCTAGGTTTCATCATCCGGAACAACTATGAATTTAAAAATCCTTTATGTTTTGTCTATCTGTATAAAGCTTTTGTACAACCCATACTAGAATATGCTACACCTGTTTGGAACCCATTCTATCTAAATTATCAAAAAATTCTTCAATCTGTACAAAACAAATTTTTAAAAAACTTTCCTACAAACTCAATCTTCCTCCGAATTCTGCCTACCCTGGAATCCGCTCTGAATTTAAACTTTTCGAACTGGCACTAAGAAGGGATTACTTTGATATTGTTTTTGTATTTAAATTATTAAACAATCTCATTGATAGTCCTTATCTCCTCTCTCAACTACAGCTACATGTCCCTTCGTACTCTCTTAAAACCTATAAATTATTTTATATTGAATCCCAAAGCTCTAACTACATGCTCTCTTTTCCTCTACACAGAATGATGATCAAGAGTAACAACATCTGCAATAGCATTGACTTCTTCAATAGTTCTGTGCAATCTATGAAAAACCTTATCCTACAACCTTAGTTGAATGCTTTTATATTTTATACTATACAAAATTATTACAATTTATTTCATTTACTGGTTCAACTAATTCTTGCACTCTAGTCTTATTATATATTTACAAAGAGCATTACTTTCATTAAATATGTACCTAATTATTGTAGTTTCAATTGTCTTTCAGCTTTATTTTGTTTTCTCTGCCTTATTTGGTTAGTAATTATGTATTTCATTTTTGTTGTTCAGTTTTTACTCTTTAATTGTATTTTTATATTTATCATTTATATTATTACCATGGATATACGTCCTTATTCTTTTTATATATATTATTTGTATTTTTACATATATTATTTATATTTTTTGTTATTGTAAAATGTCTTTTTTATAGTGGATTTCAATCCGTAAATAAATAAATAAATCAATGACAAAGTTCTCGCCTTCAAAAGAAAAATCCAGTTTTGGATTGAATCTGTTGAGGAGGAGGTGGAGTGTTTTCTTGTGAAAGGGGCCCGCTGGATAGACATGATCTATATAATAAATAATCTTGCCAAAAATTACATTTCCCATTTTTTTAAAAATTTCTGCATGTTGCTTAAAAGTTATTGAGAATGGGAAGAAGAAAATGGATCAGTAAATATTGTTTACACTAAACAGCAAATCCTTGTAATTTCTCAGTTAAATATTACAAACTCAGTGTATTTTTGACTTGGTGAAACAGAATCCATATATGTTTAGCGGTTATGATTGACCATGTTAATTATTTCAATTAATTATTCTTTTTATCTAAGGTCTTGGTTGAGATGAACTACTTTCAGCTCAATACTCCGCTGTTCTAACCACGTGAGCTATCGTGACTTTGATTCACTCAGACACTAACTTTTTCACCTCAACCAAGACATTAGATAAAAAGAATAATTAGTTGAAATAATAAATATGCTCAATTATGACCGCTAAACATATATGGATTAATATAATAAGTATAGAAGTAATCACTTCATAAGTCGCTGAGAATTGAATCCTGATTACATGACATTTGAAAAAAAAATTTGAAAGGTTGTAGGTTGGGATGGAGTGTTGGTGTACAAAGGAATCGAAGTCACAACAGCTCAATTGGTTAGAACAGCAGCGTATTGAGCGAAATGTCATAGGTTCGGATCCCGCTCATCACTAACTTTTTCATCTCAATCAAGACCTTAGATAAAAAGAATAATTAATTAAAATAAAACAGAATATTGAAAATAAACGATCAAGATGATCCTGAAATCTTCACATAGTGTTATGTTGCCTGAAACATCTTGCTGATACCTGATGCTTGAATGTTTATGTCAATAGTTATACAGATTATAAAATTGACGATAACGATTTATTTTTTAGCCGAATAGTAAATATCGTGTAGAACGTAGGCCAAGAAAATCACATGAGAAATCTTAATATATTTGTGTTTAGATAAAAAAAAATGTTTAACATTGATTAGACAGGGATGGTACCTTCTCTCATTTTTTGTTCCAATTCTTCCAAGGTTGGTTCTATGAGTTCCCATCCGTCCGGTGGAGGTTTTTTGCTCCTCCTCACTTTGGGCATGTTTTAAAAACAATAATATTCCTATATGAAAAAAAAAGATTTAAAAATTCAAAACCAAAAACACCACAAAAGCACCGCGGCACAAAGTACAAGGTAAACAGTACTCGTGGTAACCTTACGGATGGATAGCAGTCTACGTCAAGACTGCAAGGCTTTTCTTTTAAATTTATTGCCTTTTCCCCGTGGAATTTATTCGCCGGAATTTCTACATTAAAAAAAATAGACATTTTGTTTTTGTAATTGCCCCAGATAAGGGAAGTCGAGGAGTAAATTTTTTGGAGACGTTTTTCCGGAAGGTTCCACCCCCGGGCGGTTTCCCGTACGAAACTGTTAACTCGTTACTTGGCTTTGATATTAAAGTTATTTTAACCTTTAAAATTTTAGTTCCGACATAAAACAGAAGAAATGCCGAGAGGTGAGTTTTTAAAGGAATTCCTGCTTGTGCCAGGAAGTCAGGGGGGCTGAATTGAGCACAGGGTTTAAAATCAAACGTTCTCATGATGCGACATACTTTCCTTGTTGTAACCACTTGTTTTTAGGCCCGACGCTCTATTCTATCTGGTAAACTTTATTTTCTATCTTACATTATCTGGTTTTTATTTTCAAGGCAAGTATACGAACCATAAAGGAAGGAGTAGGAGGTTTACCAGCGCTGAGGAGTTAGAGGAACAAAGAAGACAAGATGAAACTTTCAGACAGAAAAAGGTAACTTGCCCAAACAATTTACAATCTTGTGTCATCATATTTACAATTTTCTATTTTCTAGGCGGAGCCGGGAATGGAGTCGAGCGATGAAGACGAAGAGAAAAGCGGTTCTTCTGACGAAAGTGGAAGTGAAGGAGAGGTAACAATGGTTTTCCCTCATAACTAATACTGCCAATACCAAGCCAATATTCCAATGCATTCACGTGTTGTATAAGAGTGTATCAAATTTAAAACAGGACTCATTTAAAAAAAAAAAAAAAAACTAACTATTTTATTAAGCTATCGGGCTGGTACAAAAATGATGCAGGTTTTGAATAAAATAAAGAAGATTTATTCGAAATATTTTCCATCACAATCTATACACCTTTGCCAATGTTTAAAGCACTTTTATTGCACTGATATAAAAAATATGTATTCACAATAAAGTCGTGGAAGACTTTCTCTAAAAATTTTATCCCTCAATAAGAGATCAAAATGCCTAAAAAAGTGGAAGTCTGTAGGCAAGAGGTCAGGTGAATACGGGGGATGCGGCAAAGTTTCATATCTTAAAGTCTTAAAGGCTACGCTAGGTTGGCCTTACGACAAATGGCCTGGCATTATTGTGAAGAAAAATTAAAGGAAAAAAAAGGAGGGCGGGAGGGAGAGAGAGGGAGATTTCAGAAGCAATGCTAAAGCATTTCTCAGAGTGTGCAATCTGATAAATTGGTCGTCAGCCTGTTTCATGGCTTTTGTGCGTCCCTATCCTAGTCTCTGATTACATATGATCAGGAAAACCTAAAATTCGTGCTGCGTACCGCTAACAAGTGCAATGACACGGGTTACTTGCTCGCATTTTACATGTTACATTTTTGTATGTTTTGATTCTTCATATTAATAAAATAGCAATAAAGGCATTTTTAAGGGATTAAAAAATGTTCCCTCCCCCATGTAAACATCAAATCATTCGTGGGGATTTTAAATCAAATCAGGATTTAAGGAGTTTTATCTCACAATTGGCAACAAAAGCAAATACTTTCTGCCCAATTATAATTAGTAAATAAGTTTTTAAGTAGTAAAAAAAAAGTACAAAACATTGTCCACTTAATAGAGAAATCAGAATTTCAAAGTCCACCGGCTTTTTCGTGAAGCAGTCTCATAGTCTGAATTAATTAGGGTCAAGACGTGTTCAGATTAGCTGAATAACAGAAATGTTTCAGCAGCAGAAAGCAAAAGGAGTCGAAAATCTTATTGAAGTTGTCAATCCGAATCGGATGCCGAACAAGCCGAAAAAATTGTCCGAAGTGACCGAGGAGGTGACACCGGAGCTAAGCAGGAGGGAAATGTAAGCGTAGTTAATATTCAAAGCTTTTCCATTTCATGCTGACTGATTTGTCTTCAGGGAAGAAATTAAGAAGCATAAGATGAGAGCACACTACCACAAGCTCCACGCCCAAGGGAAAACTGCCCAGGCGAAATCTGACTTAGCCCGGCTGGCAATTATAAAGCAACAAAGGGAAGAAGCGGCAAAAAGGAGAGAAGCTGAAAAATTAGGTACATTTCAATATTTTAATTAGAAAAAATTGAAATATTTATTTATTTATTTTTTTAATAGAAAAAGAAGCTGGTAAACAAAGTAAAGTGGCGGAGATGCAAAAGGTGCTGGGTAAAAAATAAAACTAAGGGATTTCATTGGTTGCCAACAGTTCATTGAATCACTCCTGTACAAACAAAAACCTGAAACAAATCTCTTTGTTAATAATAAAATATTCTTTAAACTTCAAGATTGATAAATAAACGTATTTACATTTAATGCTATTTTCAAATCTGTATTATTGTACACTCATTCTCATGACAATTTGGTTTGTTGACAATTGTTATCTAAGTTTCCCAAATTTCTCTTTAACAATATATTTCATATAACGCAGCAGCGGTTCTGTTGGAAGCCGAAGAAATGTTTCAATTCTACAAGTTACTAAAATATTTTTGTTCTATTAAATTTTCAAGATTTTTTAAATTTTTCTTTTTTTACTTTTCATGTAAAATATAAGATAGTTTTTTGTTTTGTATTATTTAATCGCAGTTTGACATTTGTAGATTTCCCACCAATTCTTTTTAATTTGTGCTTTTGTTTTTGCCATTTCTATTTTGATGTAACGTGAGCGATTGAATTATTGTGATCATTTGGTATGTATGATACAATTATTTTGAATTATTTATGTTTAAAACATTTTTCAAAATTGAGAGGAATATACATGTTTTATGTGTAAGAAAATATTAAAATGATATTTTCATTTTAATGTATATTTTATTACTCATGTAACAAAATACCTCAATTGTTTACAGTAACAAGTAAAACTGTAAATAAACGAAATGATTTTTTTTTATAATTTAAATTTTCTTTTGTATTTCATTTGAGAAATTATTAATTTTTTTTCAGTTATAATCAATCTGATCATTCATATTAAATTCAATGCATGGTATTTCAAATCTGTCTTCGACCCTGTGCAGAATCAGTTTAAAGGATTAGAAATTACAACAGCCAAATCAACACTTGCACCAGGAAAGAAGTACGCGATGTTACAGTTGACAATCACATTTAACAGTTCTTACGAGGCTCATATATGTCAGACAGATTAAAACTGCAAGGGTAGCATAGAAGACAGACCAGAATGATCTGAAAACTGAACTACATGTTCATTGTCTTTGCGATTTTCAATAAGAAATCATTTATAAATTAAATATTGTAATTTTTATAATAATGAAGAATATATGAAAACCTAGTGGCCTGTTGGGGCAATTCTTCTGGAAAAAAGGATGTGGTCTGGTTTTTACTTTCTGGGTGTCCTGAATGCACAACCACAGGTTTGGAAGAATCTATAAAATATAGACCAAACAGACTTGAGGGAGTTTAGTTTTTATCTACTGAGGAATGCGAATATTCAGGTTTGTTATATTTTTGTTGGGTGAAGAGTAGAAACATTATTTAAGAAGGAAGAGGAAAATAGATCGGAGAAGGCATCAGCTATTTGTGGATCAGTGCTTAAGACCTTATTACTAGTTCCTACTATGGCTGGTTAACGGTCGAAATTGTGTTTTGAATTTACTTATTTTGAGAAATTGCTAGGACTTTCAGTAATTCACTTTTGAAGCTTGTTTTAATGAAAGTCAAAAACGATTATAGCTTGTTTTAGATTAACTTTCTGTAATTTTTTGTTTGTTAATTTCTACATGTGTTCTGGTAGAGTGAAAAATCCAAAAAAATATTAAGTTTTGGAGGAGGTTAAATGATATTATAAACTAAATCTCCATTTCCACACTAAACACACCCTTGACACATACTATACAACTAACCCTATTGAGGGTTGATGGGGTACTTGATATTCCGCCTTCAACCCTCTCACATCACATTCACTCTAAACACAACTTTTACCCATACTGTACAACTAACAGAATTAAGGGGTCGATGGGGTACTGATACTTCACCATAGACCCTCTCACATCACACAATTACGCTAATAAATACATTCACTCTCAACACATCAACCCTCTCTTTTGTATATTTTATTACATATTTTATTATTATTATTATTATTATTGCTGTTATTATTTTACCATATTTATGAAACTTAGAATATATCTAATATAAGTACATGTAAGGGGGGTTAAAGCCCTATTTGTGCCTTTAAAATAAATAAATAAATATTTTTAGAAAAATGGAAAAAAGAGAAATTTAGTTCTGTTTGCAAGTGTTACCTTCTTTGAAGGTTTATTGTTGACTTTTATGAATTTCGTTTCTTTCCTCGGAGTTTCTGCTTTATTTTTAATAGTTTTATATTTGTTTTTTACGTGAATATGACTAGCCAGGCCGAAGGAGAGGGAGAAAGGGCCAGGATGACGAGTCAGACGAAGGATGACAGTTCGGACGAAGATGGTAAACGGGTCAAAACTCGGACGAACAGCATCTACCCGAGGACGTGCAAAAAATGTTCGACCGTGTTCAAAAACAGGCACGCCTTCTGGAACCACCGGGTCGTCTGTTCCGGGGCGGTGATCATCTGCGAAGACTGCAGCCACGTCTACAGGTCCAGGCTCGCCTTCTACGAGCACAAGTGCCAGAATCGCAAGACGGGCCAGGGCTGCAAGAAGCTCACGAAGTGCATCGCTCAGGGATGCGAGAGCATGTTTTTCAGGTGGGGAGATTTTCATGTTTATCTGGTCACTGGACAAATTTTGTAGATTTCCTTTCATTAGAACTGCTAACATTGTCAGCAAAAGTCAGCTGAAGAGTAGGAGATTGAGGACAGCCTCAGGTAGGATAGCTTTCTTTACTGTGTATAGGTGGCTCCAGACATGCGATTGCTGCCAAGTCTCGAGATTCGCAGCCCGGCATTTGCCAAATAGTGTACTTATATATACATGCGGTGTTGTACAACCACCTTGTTTGTCCGGAAACAGCAAAAATTCACCAAGTGCCGTGTGAGTCCTCAACTTATTATCAATTATGATGGACAACAGTGAAATTGTCATTGCCGCAGCTGCGATTACTGTTTTGTGTAGTGGCTACAAACTCAGTCACAGATTACTATTGTCCCATCTTACTTGTGATCCATTTTCATGCATCGAAAACCTTGTTCTGATTTTTGTGATTTGGAAGAGAAACATTTCAACTTGTTGGTTGAGCTTGGTACAGGAACTCCACGACTATTATGTTGGGCCAGTCTATTCCTAATTGACAGAAACAATGATCTATACTAGTTAGAAATAGCTTATTGTTGAAAAATAAATAGCGGTGTTGATTGATGATTACAGTTGATATCTGAATGTGCTTTGGGTAAGTGGATGCTTTGAGTTTGGCTACTTCACAAATAATTGTGCACTTTGAAGCAGACAAGAAAACTGACAATTAGCCGAGCAAGGCGACCACCAATATTGTTGCTTGGCGAATAACCGGGCACCCATTTTCACTAGTCAGGATTCGGCGAACCTTTGCTCGACATTTGGCGAATCCCGCATGTCTGGAGCCACCCTAAGGTATAGGACTATTGTGCTCATCCACTCAAGGATTTCTTCATGGAGTGCGTAGGTTTTTTATTTATTTATTTATTTATTTATTTATTATTATATATTTTTTTACAGGGTTTTTTTTGGGGGGGGGGTTGATGAATATAATTTTTTCCTCAGCTGTGATCAAACTATGTTGGAACAGCTTATAGCCATGCCTTGTAAAGTTCACTATTCCTTATAAAACAGCACTTTCCTTGGCACATCTACTTGGGTACATATAATGTGTTACGCCCGACTGTTCGCCTCCTCAATTTTAGGACTTTCCTTCCCCAAAAAGTAAGAAAAACTCATATAGGGTCAGAAAATTCTATTTTTTATAAGGTGCACTTCTACCGTGTCGCTGACCTAGAAGAGAGAGCGATGGAAGCCGCACAGTAGGGTTGGGCACTTGGATCGGCAGTGGAGACAGCGAAAGCCGTGTGAACCCGGCTCGACGGACTCGTGGGGGTGGGCAGGAAGTAGGCAAGTCGAGTGAGAGGTGAAACAGTGAGGAAAAAAGGGCAACCAAAGGGGGAAAAACAAAGAAGCGAGGAGCATCTTTTTCTTTGTTCAGTGTGAAAAACTGTTTTCCCCACTGGGATCAGCAAGACACAACCAAGCAGGAGCTAGAACAGAGAACGAGACAAGGTTCTCTGGTGAGGTCCAACTTGTTGAAACCATTAGTTTTTTTGCCTGACTTTAAAAAAAAATTTTTTTAGGATACTCCAGGAAGTTTGATGTTAATTTTGTTTGCGAGGCCTTCATGTAATAGTTATTTTGTAAATTAAACAGTAATTAAAAAGAGTTTTTGTTTTGTTTTAATTTAAATTGTGTCATTTTTTAAAATTTATTTTGTAATTACAACTTCTGACGAATGTATGTGTGGTGATTTTGATTCATTGAACCAGGTGAACAGTGGGGTCTGAACAAAAATGCTCGTAGCTCAGGGGAACTGCCTTCGATTTTAGGCTAGGATGTTTGTGGTTTGAGTGCGCTGCAGGGTTATTTGTTTTTTCTTTTTTTCTTTTGATTATTATTATTTTATTTATTTTTATTATCATTGATTTTTGTTTTGTTGTTTTGTTTTCTTTCTTTCATAGGGATTCACTATTTTCCCAGGATCAAGTGGTCTGGACTGAGTGTCAGGGTGAAAGTTAAAAATTAATAAACTTAAGAAATGTACAATACAATATGAAGCATTTATATTGTATATTCTTAAAAAAAAATTATTAATATATATTGTAATATAAATAGTAAAAGAAAAAACAATCTTTTGTCATTAGGAGGACAGAGATGCTTAAACACATGGAAGCTGTTCATTTGAACAATATCAACGATTCAACCCTCAGTTTTTCTTCCATTCAAGACTTTGAAAAATGGAAGGAGTCTGAATCGCAGAAGAATTTCACCTACTTTAGGAAGCAGAGAGGCACAAAACGATTAAAGGGTACAGAATACACTTCCTTCGTCTGCCAGTTTGACGCACCGAATCGTAAAAAGGGCTCCAAGATTCCGAACTACAGCTGCCCTGCAAGGATGCAAGTATTAAAAAATGAAAACGGTGAGGTTTCCGTCCGGTACATATCCACCCATAATCACTCCCTGACCAGGGCCAATTTAAAATTCCATCCTTATTCCAAAACGGTTGTGAATTACATAAAAGAACTTCTGATCGACGGAGTCAGTCCAAAAACAATTTTCAAAATATTAAAAAGGAAAACGGAAGATACTGATTTTTTGCAACTTAAAGACCATTCGATCACTGTCAAGTACATAAATAACATCAAATATCAGCTCAAAGTCAAGGGCGAGTTGAAGGAAACCCCTCCCAGCTCAAAGTGCTATCACAAAGACGGTACAGAAATTCCCGTTAGTTGTGTGATATCACTATCTGATTCTACTTGGATAATAGTTTCTCCTCAGGATCAAAATTCAAGTTGTGTTGTGGAAAAGTATCATTTAGAATGTCCTGAACCAGATAATTGTTTTTATAGGTGCAATTACTCTGTTTGTAAAGGACTTTGCAGTCACATGTACTCATGTTCTTGCTCTATCGGTTCTCTTTGCAAACATATCCACAGAGTACAGTCTCTCTGTAAGAGAATGCAGAACAAATCTCGCGATTTGATTAAAAGGGAAACTAAACAGCATTCGAGAATGGAAATCATCATTGAAGAAGATGATTTTGTAACAGAAAAGACTACAAATTGTGATATTATTCCACATGATAACTTGGAAGATATTGATAGCACTTATGATGATGATACTCTTTCTGACACGTATAGAGAAAATAAAGTTGTCAAAAATATCTACTCAGTGCCAGAAGAGCTGATACAAATTGAGTACAGCGATGCTCTGGATGATGTTTTACAAGAAGACGAAATACCAAACTATGACCTAAAAATTGGCATTAGTGAAAATGAAAAAGATGGTGAGCACCGATCTGCCGGTGAAGATCTGTTACTCAAATTGACTAATGCTTACAAACTCGTGTCTTCAGGTGTTTTGACCCAAGCTAACAAAGTCCTTGAAAATGCGCTGAAAGAAATGTCTGAGCTAAGTTAGCTTTGGTTTTTCTCAATAGGTAAAATCCAATTAGAAAATCTGTGATAAAATTAATTATAGATTTAATTTATTATATATATATTTTTTAAATATATTTGTACAGAATATATGCTTTAAAGTTTAATTAATATTTTTTGCTTGTATTTTGTGTAATGTTTGTTTACCTTTTTATATTATTTATTACTTAGGATGGGTAGTTTTTGAAATTTTTTATACTACAATCTAGTTAAGTAGATGTTTAATAGATAGCATATTGACTTTCTTGTCTATTTTCTTTTTTTATTCGTTGTTATAGTTTTTAAATTGTGTTGGAAAAAAGTGGGAAACGCAGTTTCACCTAGTCAAGTAGGATATTAGAAAAAAGTTTCACTTGAAAACCAAACATTTTGAAAATCTAAAATCACACAAGAATTTAAAAATTAACTGTATTAGTCCATCTGATTATGTAAAATGTTATATTTGATTCTTAACATTAATTTGCCATGATTAACAAGTGTACTTATTTTGTTGAAAGGTTTGTGAAATTTTTTTAATGCTTTGTTTTGTTGTAAATTGTTTTAATGTTCACAAACAGTAAGTTGTGTCCTAGACATTTGTTTTATCCCTTTAAATTAGTTAAAAAGTTACAATAAGAATTTGATTTTGACCAAAGTCTTCCTTTTTACACTGTATGTTTTGTTTATAGACGAACTAAGATGATCAGCGATCAAACTGCAAATAAAAGTACATAGGTAGAGGGATTAACCATTAACCACAAAATTTACTAAATATATGTTCTATTTTTTTTAAAAAAAGGGGGAAAAAGAGTTATGTAATGAAGTATAGAAGAGAATGAACTATCTGTGATCTTTGAATTTAAACCCAAAATAATCTGATTTTGTACAATCTATGTCTGCAGGCATTAAAAAAAGTTGTGTTTTTTTACTGAAAATTATGTGTGTTTCTTAGTGTTCTGTTTTCATAATTTGTTGAAATCATGAAGAGTGGTCAAGAGGTCTTCAGGGCATAGAACCCATGTAGTTATGTAAAAAAGAATTGGTTCAAGCACTGGATTGATTGGGAGAGGTATTATGCGATTTTAATTCCCATTTAGAAAATAGGGAGAAATGGAGTGCTCAGTTGATTGCCATCCGTCAGAGGTCGTCTAGACATGCTATTATTTATTTATTTTTTACTTTACAATGATTTTCTGTATTCCCCAAATTTATTAAACTTAAATGGCCATTCTACGGAACTTTCAGCCATTGAGTTAAGTTGGTTTTTTAAGTTAAAATGCAAGCTGCTATTCCTTAACCATACTCCTTGGCAAGAAAGTGGGGTTTCAATCTGTGCTTTGTGTAACCTGAATGTAGATATTGCCATAGGGACACAACAAGCTCCACAACCCAGCTAATTGATTATCTGATGGAAAGAAAAGATTGGAACTAGTAGAAAATCAAGGTTAACAAAAGAAAGAAAAACACTTCTTTATATTTATTTGTATCATCTACTTAAGATCTTTGTAGTGTTCGAAGTATTGGAGGTCTTGTATCTAAGCTTATTAGTAAATTATTTGTTCAGTCTTGAAAAAACCCTGTTTATACCTCTGATACGCAATATAACTATTGTTCCCTGTCAGGTTTTTTTAAAAGAGAAGATGTTTCGAAAATTACAAAAATTATTCTGTGAAAACTAAGTTGCAATCAACTGTGACCATTTTTAGGAAGATGATAAAATATATTTATTTATTTCAATTAATTATTCTTTTTATGTAAGGTCTTGGTTGAGATAAAAAAGTCAGTGTCATGAGCGGGATTTGAACCCACGACTTCGGCTAAATAAATAGTAAATTAACATTATACAGCATGGTAAATACCGTCTGCCGTTAGTTGAAGCTACATCACTATACCAACAAAAATATATGAATGAAATGTGTAATTGAAAACTAAAAGGTAGAAAATTTCTAATGCCGCTGCTCTACCACTTTAGCTATCGTGACTTCGATCCTTTCGGGCACCAACACCCCTTCTCAACCAATAACCGTTCGAATTTTCCCTCTTTTTGCCATTTTCAAATGTCGACTTTTTTATTTCAACCAAGACCTTACATAAAAAGAATAATTAATTGAAAGAAGTAACATGGTCAATTGGCCACTAAAACGTAAATAGGTTTATATTTATTTATTTGAATTATATTAGCAAATTAAAAATAATTAACTAAAATTAACTATAATTATACAATTATTATTACTTTGACATTTTTATAATTTATAAATATACAAAAGGGTTTTTCTTTTTATAAAATTTCGTTAACCTTGAGTCTCACCTGGAGAAGATTTGAGTGCGCGCGTGCGTGCGCGCGCGCGCGCGCGCGCGCGCGTGTGTGTGTGTGTGTGTGTGTGTGTGTGAGCGCACTTCGTGCGTGAAGTGTATGAAAAAAAATGAAATCTACAGGTTATATATTAATAAGGAGTTATAATTTAATAATACGTATTTTTTCACATAAACCCTTTCCCCGACAATTGAGAATGCTAAACCTTCAATACCCATCAGAATTGATGGTTTAGTATTTTCTTTCGCCTTGAAAAACAAAATTATTTAATATATGCATAATAATATTGCGATGGGTCGAAATCTGTGTCGAACAAATAACGTACAGAAATATTTTAGGTTTTGTTTTAAGTCTCCCTATGCTCTAGTAAGTTGTTGGGTTCAAAGCCGTCACGGGTCTAGCCCGGACACACTGATAAGATGAACAGGAGAGGGAAATAAGTGAGTGGGGAGCAGGAGTGCTAGACCAGCCTTAGCCGGAACCAGATCGTTATGATATTAAATTTTCAGTAAGTCGCTCACATAAGGTTTGTCCCTGGGAAAGGACCTTAAAAAAAATTTCTTTTGTATTTTTGATTACCACTGATAAATTGGAGAGGGTCTTGGTGTACGTCTGGTGTTTTTTCCTTAATTCCTTATTTCACCATACTCGCGAACTCTGCAAGGGGAATTAAATGCACCTCGAAGTAGGAGGTGACAAAGCTTAGAGACAAGACCTGCAATACGAATAAGTTTAAAAAACAAACCCCAACAGTTACTTCTTTTCAAAATCGTGGTTGGTCCACTTGAATCGCTTTATCTGTTACTTTTAGTAATTAAGAATTTACACAAATTATAACCTGTAATGATTATTTACCAGAAGTGGCCATTAGTACATAGGGAGACTTAAATCAAAACCTAAAAAAATTCTCTGCATTATTTATTTGACAGACGAAATTCGCAGAATGGGATTCCCTGCTTGTACCTTTAATATGCTATATAACTGTCGTTTCCCGGCCTGCAGTAGGTTTTTTTAAGAAGTTGTTTCGAAAACTACAAAGATTATATCACAAACCGAAGTTGCAATCAACTGCGATTACCCTTAAAAATATGCTAAAAAGAGATTTATAGGAGGTTTTTCTTCTTCTTTTTTTTTTTTTTAAATTGTGTTAACCTTGATTCTCCACTAGAGAAGCTGGGATTCGAGTGTGTGTGTGTGTGTGTGTGTGTGTGTGTGTGTGTGTGTGTTTGCACGTGCGTGCTTACATAATAGGCAAAAGACGGATGTTACTGCAAGATGAGTTGGTTTGAAAAACTTTTTTAACACCTTGCGATAAATAAAAAATTAAAAAGAACTGTAAATACAATTCGTATTATTGCATAACTGCGAATTTAAACTACCTACAAAAAAAAGTTTATGGTGAAAAAATGAAATCTAAAGGTTAAAGTTTTCTCGATAAGGCGGTATGAATTTAATAACTCCAATTTTTTTTTAATAACAAAGACCCTTTCCACGACAATTGGGGATGCTAAACCTTCAACACCCATTAGAATTGCTGGTTTAGCATTTTCATTCACTTTTAAAAGAAGACAAAATCATTTAATATTTTTGTATCATTAATTATTTACTATTATATTATTACTATTAGTATTAATTATTTACTAATAATAATCATATTGTTATTTAGGGTTTAGAAAGGAATATCTTTATGTAACTGTCTTTACCACAGAAGCGGATAGTTTCAGATTCATTTTTTTCCTTTTCTACACACTATTGCGTTGAGAACAGAAGACAGAAAAGTAATACATACAGAAAAAACAACAACGAATAATTGAAAAACTAACCGTACAACCTATATAGCACAAAACAAATATAATTTAATACCATTTTTCAACCCTAATCCTGGAGACTATTATAGAGTAGATGCTGGTCGACCGCATAGAAGGTACTATTAAAGATATATAAATATGAAGTTGTAAATGATAAAATAATTTGTTTACCCCGTGGGAAAGTAGGTTGTTTAAAAATTCCACTACTAGTTTCCCCCTTCCAAGAGTTGTTAATTTATTTGCACTCACTCTAATACATTTTTTCTTACGTCTAACTGCCAGGTTAGGTAAAAAGTGGCCAAAACCTGTGAACTGAATTGTCTTTTTGTGAGATTTCTTCAATTCCGATTGCTTCTACGTTCATATGTCTTCCGGATGAACCCCAAGACCGTACTCACGGTAAACGTAGGTAAATATAGTACAGTTTTCCAGTCTGAAATGCTAGCGATTGAACAATGCGCCAGAGAAATAAAAAGGCTAGGAATGCATTCCTGGAAGATATAGCCAATCTTATTCTCATGCGATGCGAAAGATTGTTTGGAACTGGATGGAGGCCCTGATGGAAGTCGGTGACACTAATGACTTGACCCTCGCATGGGTCCCTGGACATTCGGGACATAGAGGCAACGAAAAGGTTGACATGTTGGTTAAAAAGGGGGCCAACATGGACGCTCTGGGCCCAGAACCCTACTGCGGCTTAGCAACCTGCCACAAAAGAGGATACATCTTAAAATGGATCCTTAATGAGTCCAAAACCTGGTGGAACAATACCACAGGATGAGGCACGCGAAGAGATTTATGGACCATTCGCAAAACTTACAAAAGAATTACTGGAAGGCAACTGCCACCGGACCAGGATTCTGGTTGTGCTCCTGACAGGACAGTGCCACTTAAGAAAGCACATGCACCGGATAGGAGTACAGACAGAAGAAACACTGTGCAGATACTGCCAGGAAGAGGAGGAGACCGCAGAAT